TAAAGTTGAAAATTTATAATAACAGCTAAAACAAATTATGATTATATTTCCAAATGTTTACTTATTAATACTTATTTTGACTTAATCTATCACAAACCAGACATATTTTACTACACTTGATAAGAAAATGCAATCATTTAAAAACAAATCGCGTTTGATTTAATACAATCATCATTTGGTATCATTTGGTCATATATATTTTTTCATTACTATCAAGAATTTTTAATAAACTGACACATTATTTATACACTTGATAAAACATTTAACATGTTAATTAATATTACATACCTACACTTTATAGTAATATACCTACTACTAATTTGTTTAGATTGCAATATGAATAGCTTAGACGATAAAATTATACGTACAAATAATACGTGTGTATTTATTATGTTAAGCAAACCGACAGTACAAAATTAATTGTGTTGCTAAAATGCGTAAATTGAAAAATAAAAATTTGATAAATATTTTACTCGACATAACACAAATAATTGGGCATATGAATAAAATGTTTATTAATTAAAACATATTATAGTGGGTTGAAAAAACTGATAAATCATTTTATACTGGGTATGTTTTATTATAGTATAATATAAGCTATGTTGGCTCTTAAGCCTATGGCCTATACAACACGTGATGACTGTTTTTTAATATCAGATTACATACATTAATTGACCGATTACTACGGCTAGTAACATCGACTATCACATGATATTATTATAAGAATATGTAATTATAAACTTGTATTATGAATTGTGCTGTTCTAGTAAGATAACTTGTTCTGATGCTTTCCTATTAGTTTTTATTATAAAATATAAATGAATATAAGTATTTATACTTTTTAAAAAACTGTACGATTAACGAATTCTAAATTTATTAAGAAAATAGACTTTAATTTTAATAATCTGAAATAATAGTTCAAAAATAATGTATAAAAATATTTATTACTAAAATAATTTAATAAAACAAGTCTAATGGTGTACGATTTGGTATTAAATCCTAATACACGCAGGTATAAAATTCGCATCGGTTACCGACGAACTTTGGGGGATTTATTATTGTTCTAGTCAAAACAATTTGCGAACACCCGTAGCCACTCCTCGCCCTTCCGTCTGTCCGTATGCTCTGGTGCCGGTGGTGGCTTTTATTTTTTGTTTTGGTTATGAAGATGGTATAATATACAGAGTGTACCAAACACCTATTGACAACCGAATATTTAAAACTCGATTACTAAAAAAAATATTTTCGGGGGCTCAATTTCAAACCAAAAATTAACCTATAGAAATTAAAAAAAAAAAATTACGCGCTAACTAACAATAATATATAACTTTTATTCAAATAAACACCAAACATTTTTGGGTCTTTTTGTGCACGTTCTGTATACTATTATTAGATATTTCGTATCTTGTACGTACGTTATATTTTTAATCTTCTGTCCCTCACTATAAACATATATTGACTAAAACTATAACTAATTCCTGGTATTTCAGTGGTATAAATAACGCTTCTAGTATAAATTTAAGCCATTTTACATTACATTAAAAAAAGTAAATCAATTTTATAGAGTTTAAGTTGAATGAGCTTTTTACACTAATAAAATACTTATTTGTATAATAGGATAATCTTGAAATATTTTACAAAATAAATAAAATATATTATATTATTTCTATATCCACTGTAATACTGTATATTTACTATCGGAATTTAATTCTATCAGCTTTAACGATTACGCTGCAAAGCAAAGGCAATGTAATGGTGTGTATAGTAGCTCAAAAGGGATGAATGGGGTTGCCTAGTAATACCAAAGAGTTACTGTGGTGTCGAATGTGTACAGTGTGTATAATGTTGATAATTTGAAAACTTTAATAATTTAAAAAAGTTTCTTTTTCGGTTTTCATTAGTACTTAAACTAGAATTGCCTCACCGGTGCAACAAACAGTTAACTAAACAAAATACAATTGTGAATAAAATTCACACACAACAAATTAACTTAATTTCTGGCCAGGGGTGTAGCGAGGTCATTGTTCCCAAGTCCATTCGGCCGACTGGCTTTACAAAAACAAAATGTACACGCACATGAACTAATTAGTAATTTTTTTTTCCATACTTTTTAATTTTCTCAATGTTTTTATGTTTAAATTTTTAAAACTATTATTATATATACGAAAAAATAAGAATACTTTTAAATGGATATATTTATAAAAAATAAAAACCAGTACAGTGGGGTCGGGGCATAGTGGGGACGGGGAGGTCACAGGTTTACGGGAATTTTTAAGTCTGAAAGTGATAAAATCACTTTCGAAAAAACGCTTCGATGCAAATCGGTAGTTAGTATTTTCAAGCCAGTACAGTCCAAACCAAGCACAGTATAACCAGCAAAGTAAGAAAGTTTTAAATTAAGGTTCTGTATATACAAATGAGCATCAAAGCGTTAATTTGAAAGCGATTTTATTCAATTTTATCACTTTTATTTATAATAATTCTTGTCTTAATAAAATATCGTTTTTTTTTTGTGGTGAAAAATATACATTCGGACTTCTTATCCGACTTTCAAAATGCCATCTGGAAATATTTTTTAAAAACAGCCTCGTTTGAGTCGTTAGCTCATTAATGAATAAAAACGAATAAAATGTGAAATAATTACTCCTTAATAATATGTCATGCTGGCAGCACAACTAACACCATTAATAATCGTATATTGTATACAAGTATTGTTAGTGTTGGCATTACTGAGAGGCGATTTTTTGTCCGGCGGCGTTTTGTCGGGCGACCTTTTGTCGTGTTTCCATATGAACATTCCTAAATATTCATCACATATCCCCTATACATATTTCCATTACACGAGATCTATGTCGCACACGTGTCGCATTCCCGTAAATTATAAAGGTACCGTTGTTCATTTATTTCTTATATCACCTTTACTACCATTTAATGATTATCCTAATGAACCGATCGCCAAAGTACATAAATCAATTCTAACGGTTTAACTAGCCCGACCATATTGTATGAGGTTAATTTAACCAACGAGCAATATAGTCTGTTATAATAATTCTTTGGTGTTGCTACTATGAGCATCCATTAAATCATTATTATAAATGCTACAGAACTGTATATAGAATTGTACTCTGTCGAGATAGGTTCATAATAAGGGTAGCGTTATGACGCGAGCACTTAAAACACGCTATTAGTGTCTGTGGTCATAGCCACCGGTCTTGGTTGCGTTTACATATATATATATATATTTATATTTAATAAACGTCGAAAACATCTTGACACTATCGCATCAGCGTCAAATACACACACCAAAGGATTAAATATTATCTGCACACAAAGGTAAGACATCATAGTAATAATTACGTAATAATAGAACTAGGTATAGCGGAAGGATAATATAATAGTATATATACATACCCCGCTCACTCATATACACACATAAACATTTCTCTCCATCTAATTACACTAATTACCTTTACCCCACCATCCGTCCACCTCTTTTTATTCATTAAATGACCACACAGCTGTCAATAGTCCGCATAGATTTGCTATTTTTATTTTTATTAAATTACCCACCCTAGGGGCCTAGCTCGAAAAATGAACTGCTTTTTTCTAAAACGTAGGTAAGATTTCAATTACAGATTTAGTATTATATATAGCTACCGTTAAAATTCAAGTATGGTTACCGCAAACGGTCATTAAACCAAACCAAACTTATTTATTTACGATTACTGTATATGAGCCAGATATAAAACCTCGCGCTTTGATTACATTTGTATGTACGTGCAATTGCTTTTGTGTAATTGTAATTGTTGTTTTATGTTTTATTCATCTTAAACAAAGTTCGATGTCTAAGGCCACTACGTCTTACAATTTATTATTATCATACTTACGTGCTAATAAGTACATAAACTGTAAACTATAAATTGTATTGTATTTAGCTTACGCGTTGGATTAAAATCACCATGTTTGTGACTTTAGGCGCTTATTTTACTATGATATTATCTAGTTTCAAAAAAAAAAAAAAAAAAATATGTATTTGTTTTACCAAACAAATGTGTAAATCATGCGAGATCTGTATTGTTTTTTTTTTGTAATACATACATGTTTTTTGTCTAGTCTAGTTTATTTTATACACACATATTTTGTACATAACAATTAGGTAAAGCGTTTTAAATGTAGGTGTATAAGACATATCGATTTATTGATTGAAAACAAACAGACGAACAATAATTATTACCTACCTTAGTCAAGTGAACATAATAACAGTTGGATATTGTAATTGTAAGTCATAGGTACCTAAAGGCCAAGTCCAAAAACAAAATATCGCTTACCTATACGAACCGTTCGGCAAACATAACTCGGCGAGGCGAAATGAAGAACCGAATACTTGTGGCTTTGTTGGTAAGAAAAATACAGTTGCATTTTTGTTTGGCCAAAGCCGCGCGTACACACTAGGCCAGTAATTTAATCGAGAAATTCTCATAGAATTTTGGTAAATTCTGCGACATCATCGTTTTTAAGTTCATTTAAAAGTAAATTACCAACACCATTTGTAGCTGCCCAATAATTAATCTGTTCTCAGGGCTCATAATCGTTTTTTAATATTAAGTATGTCTTCTAAAATCTCTTCTACCTCTTCTAAAATAGCATTTGCAATAAGTTATTTTTTTTTATTGTATTTTGGTTTTTTCACAGCTACGTGGTCCGACGTGTCGCATTCTGATTAGCCGTTGAAATCACGGTATCATTATGTTACCATGACCTACCGGGATTTTGGTAGCCGAGCCGAGCTCAACATTTGTATCGTGTGGTATAGGTGGTTAACGTATGGTAACCGCGGTCAATTGATATTTATCAATTTATTATCTCAATTTAATCATACTTATTACTATCACTATCTGCATTAAATGTCGGTTTGACATAAATGGGCCATATACGGCCCATATTAATTATGAGTAATATTTTATCAAATTTAAATTTATTTCGTGTTTACTCTATGGCGTTCACTGATTAGGTAACTACGATCGATAATTACCAAATTGAAATTGAACAGTACCATTAGTAACCTTTAGTGGGCACGCCCACTTCTTAAATCGCACGACACGACAGACGACGTAGCTGTGAATAATTGTAATACCGCCTTTCAATACACGAATGCAGCATAGCACAACTACTACTAAAATCTGTCGGAACTCTTTTTAGCTAGGTATTAAAACGTTTAGTGGTAATTAGTTAATCACTTGCCACTCGCCAAAATTAGTGGCCTAGTGTGTGAAACTTACGATAATTAATTAAACTACAGTGATAATTCTTTGTTTTTTTTTCAGGCGTTCACGATCAACGTGGTCGTAGGTCCAGTACCTCATGATTTTTTAAAACCACTTCATCCGAAAGCAGTTATACAGTACATGGAGTTACACCGCGGACAAGAAGTTCAACTTAACGAAATGATCACACTACTCAACTTGTACTGGAAGTATATCAAAGGAGGAATCATTCAGGATCATCAGACGTCGTATATTAATTTATTAAGCGAAGCGTTTAACATTATATTTGACGAACACTACAAAGATCCAAGAAAGTTCGAAGCGGTCAAACCGTTTTTAATCCAATCTCAAAACAGGATGTACCCAACCGAACCGATCGGAAATCTGGACCCAGCCTCGGAGCCGATGTTCAAAGTCCACGTACAAAGCAATCCGGATGTAGGTGTTTTTCCATTATAATCCTGTATCGTGAAATACTTAGCATGACGATTTTATTTTATCCATAGACAATGGCGGTAAAACTTTTACTATACTTTTGTTTTGATTTTTAGAAAACTCGATTACTCTTTACGTAAAATAGTTCCGGAACAACGTTTTTAACAAAATTAAGATACTTAAACTATCTCCTTATAATTAGAAAAAAATTCAAAAATATTGAATTTTCATTCCCTCACCATGTCCCACACCCCGGTTTCGCATGTTTTAAACATGTCCTAGATGTTTGACTTCAATTCTCAAAAATCAAAACCTGACATTATTCATTTAAGCAAGCACTCTAGTTTTCAGAATCAACTATGATTTTTTGAATACTTCAATAATTTCCTCATTATACCCTATAAACTATGTATCCCTTACTTTTAAGTTCAGGACCACATATTTTTCTTAAAGTGGCACCAATTCAAAGCTTTTACTTAGAATTGCTTGTTTGAGAGATAGCCACATTGTTTTAATGACAACATAAAAGTAACATTGACCGCATTTGGCTTATCTCAGTTCTTGATGATTATTTAACAATGTGATAGTGAGAAAACGTAGTCCGGCAAATTCATCATTCAGACCTTCACAAAGCTGAGATTTTTAACTGGAAGTGTCTTTTCTTTTATTGATTTTTTCACAGTAAGTGAACTTTTATAGTCTGTAAGTGTTCCAAAAAATATGGCTTTTCTCCAACCTTATTTCAACCAGTAGTTAATGTTTTTGGGTGCGATTTTCAGTCCCTCATTTTTTCAAAAAAATATTATTATGAGAAACTGAAATTTTACATTTAGTTGTATAAAAGTTCAATGTGACAACCTACTATATTATATCAATAATAGTATTATACTGTTATGTATTATGTTGTTAATTAAAAAAAAATTTTTCTTCCATCTGAATATTTGTTTAGTTCTTCGCACTGTAGTTCAGTCTCTCACCACTGCCATTCAGTCCCTTATAATGGCAATTTCTTTAATTCAAACTTTCTACTAAACTAAGAATTTCTATTGAGGACACTTAATGGTCTTTAATGCAACCCTATGCTCAATCAGAAATTAAATTCGTAAAAAATTAGCTTTTTTTAAGTGAAAAAATGGTTGTAAAAATTCCTTAGTTTTAGAGAATCGCCCGTATCCATTTACATAGTTAAATATATGCCCTTTTTTATGCCATATTACACATCAAATTTAAGATTTTGCATAAAATTGCATGTACCCTAGTCCTTAGTATAAATACCGGGTATCGCGTTGCCCCTTAAGGGACATGAATTTAAAACACTTGCAACGTCCAATACCGTTTGACGAGCCAATTGACATTTTGTCTAACCGTCTGGTGGCTTAAATAACATTTGGCAATTGAAGATTATTAATGGTTTTCAGATTGTTTGCCCGGCCGCAGTCGAAGGAACTAAACCGCACACATATTTAAAGGAGATTGACACCGAGATATTGATTGAATACATGGAATCGCACGCAAACATGGAGGAAATGCTGGTGTTATACAATCTGTACTGGAAACGGGTAAAAACCAACGAATGTAAAGGCAACTTTAAAAAGTATTGTGATCTGTTGTCGGACGCCTTCAATATTGTATGCGATAAGCATTTTGGAAATGTGGAAAATTTCGCACGAGCAATACCATCGAATGGCACAACCCGAGCAGAGAGAATTAACAGTTTTTTACCTTATGCGTACTGATTTTTCACACTTCGACATTTGTTCGGTCTATATTGTATAATATTATTGTTTTTTTGTTTTCAATAAAATAATACGGGTTTGAATACAATTTTGTACGGTGTTTTGGATTTCCAACAATTTAGCTGCTCGCATACTTTAAAAAATATTCAAAACACATACCTCTAAAATATGTATTATTTATTGTATGTTAAATTTTTATCGAACATTTTAGTCATAGTACAAAAAAAAAGATAAATGATTGTTTTTATATTGGGCAAATTTTATGAAATCAAACAAATTGCGGTAACGTTTTTTAAATTTTAGTACATATTTTGTACATAACAGATAGGTAAACCGTTTAATATGTATATAGGACGTATCGATTTATCGACTGAAAACAAACAAATGAACAACAACAATTACCTACCTTAGACAAGTGAACATAATAACGGTTAGGTATTGTAGTTGTACGTCATAGGTACACATAAAGGCACAATAAGTTCCAAAACAAAAATAGTATTTACCTATACGAATCATTAGGCATACGCAACTTGGCAAGGCGAAATATTGATACTACTTTTGATTTTTTGAGTAGAAGATTCGAAATGAAGAACCGAATACTTGTGGTTTTGTTGGTAAGAAAAATACAATTGCCTTTTGTTTGACCAAAGTAGTGTCAAACACACTAGGTCAGTAATTTAGTCGAGACAATTTAATACAATTGGCAAATTCTGCGACATCATCGTTTATAAGTTTATCTAGTTGATCATCTAGTTCATCTAGCACCACTAGTGTACTTCTCTTTTCTGGCCGTTTTCTCATCCAAATCGGTTTTATCCTTCCTAGTTGCTCTTTTTTTTCAAATTCAATAATTCTTCACTAATGATTGATATTAACTGTTTTTGCTTTATCCATAATTTGTAAGTGTATTATGTTTTAATTCTGTTAGGTGTTATATTATTAGATATTAACTGTGAACACTAATTATAACCTATAGAATACATTTTTAAAATTAAAATAACTTTCGGTCATTCTCAGCGTTGCGAATTAATATTATTTGTGGTCTTAGCAAGTTCCAGTTCTCTAAACTAAGCCGATTTGTAGGTCCCAATAAATCCGTTCCCAGGATCCATTTCCAGATCAATATCCGCTTTGCCTTTCATCAAGTATGTCTTCTACCTCTTCTGAAATAGCATTTGCCATAAGTTGTATTTCTTTATTGTGTTTGTTTTTTCGTTGGACACTTTTTTTATTACAATACATGAATCCAGCACAGCACAACTACTACTGATGTACTACTTTGTTTTTCAGGCGTTAACGATCAATGTGGTCGTAGGTCAAGAACCTCATGTTTTTTTAAAACCACTACATCCCAATGTATATATAAAGTATATGGAGTTACACCGCGGAGAAGTAGTTGAATTTGTTGAAATGCTCACACTGTTCAACTTGTACTGGAAGTATGTGAAAGGAGGAATCATTCTGGATCATCAAATGTTGTATTGTGGTTTATTGAACGAAGCGTTTGACGTTTTATTTGACGAATACTACAAAGATCCAGAAATGTTTGATGCGGTCAAACTGATTTTAATCGAATCTCAAAACCGGATGTACCCAGACGAACCAATCAAAGATCTGGACCCAGCCTCGGAGCCGATGTTCAAAGTCAGCATACAAACCAATCCGGATGTATGTGTTTTTCCGTTATAATCCTGTATCGTAAAATCCTTAGCATACCGATTTTATTTTATTCATACACAATGACGGTAATTTATAAATTAAATTGTCCAAGTTTATATAAATTGACACGGCCGAAACTTACTAAAACAATTTGTTTTTTTTATAAATATTGCCTATACAGGATGATTTATTTAGGTTAAGATACTCATAACAATAGCATTTTTGTAGTTTTTCTTTTTCGATAAATTCAAGTTTATGTCATTTTACAATTTTAGACTATTTTCAAATCCTAGTTCAATACCCGAGTCCTTAATAAATGCCGGGTATCGCGTCCCCTTAAGGTGTATGAATTAAAACGTATACATAAGTTCTGTTTCCTGTTGAACAAATTGCCATTTTGTCTAACCGTCCGACTGCTTAGATAACAATGAGTAATTGATGATTATTAATGAGTTTCAGATTGTTTGCCCGGCCGCAGTCGAAGGAACTAAACCGCACACATATTTAAAGGAGATTGACACCGAGAAGTTGATTGAATACATGAAATCGCATGCGGGTACGGAGGACATGCTGGTGTTATACAATCTGTACTGGAAACGGGAAAAATCCAACGACTGTAACGGTAACTTCAAAAAGTACTGTGATCTGTTGTTGGACGCCTTTGATATTGTATGCGATAGGCATTTTGGAAATGTGGAAAACTTCGCAAAAGCCATACCACCGAATGGCATAACCCAAGTAGAAAAAATCAACAGTTTTTTACCTTATGCGTACTGATTTTTCACACTTCGACATTTGTTCGGTCATATTGTATAATATTATTGTTTTTTTGTTTTCAATAAAATAATACGGGTTTGAATACAATTTTGTACGGCGTTTTGGATTTACAACAACTTACCCGCTCGCATACTTAAAAAATATTCAAAACACATACCTCTAAAAATAATGTGCGATTTGTTGCGCTGTACTTGTTTAGCGACGATATAGGAATGTCTATTATATTATAACTATGTTTTGCAGTAGAGATAATTTTATTGTGTCCGTTTACTGGCCGTGAGTAGGTAATTGTACACCGAAAGATTATTGATTTTTTTCTTTTATGGACGCATTTATATTATTATTTTTGAATGACCACAGCCGTCTACAGTCCATAGCATAGATTTGCTATTTTTTTAAATTAAATTACCCTCTTATATATCCATACCTATTGTACCCTCCCTAAGGTCCTAGCTCGAAAAATAAACTGTTTTTTTCCTAAAACGTAAGTATGATTCAACTTATAGATTTAGTATTGTTTAGCTACTGTTAAACGTTAAGTATGGTTGCCGCAAACGGTCATTGAACCGAGACTAACTTATTTATTTATGCTTACTACGTATCTGGGCGAGTCATTAAACTTTGCGCTTTGGTTTGTTTTAAATATTCTCTGAATGTTGTACATACATACATTCGCATGTACTATGTAATTATTGTTGTTGTCTTTTTTTATTGAACAAACTTCGACGTCTATGGCCACTACGTCTTACAGTTATTATATTACTTACACGCTAATGATGAGTAACACTTAGAACAGCTAAATTGTATTGCATATTTAGTTAACGCGTTGGATTAAAATTACCATGTTTGTGGCTTTAGGTGCTTATTTATCTATGGTATTATTTAAAGTTTCAAAAAATAAAAAACAAGCAGGGTTATACCGTTATAGTTTTCGAAGCAATGAAAAGTATGTATTTGTTTTACCCAAACAAACACAGCTCGTGCGTATTCGATAAGCTTAGATTGATTTGCACAAGGTGGGTTTTTTGTGTTAACCAGTCTCAATGTTGGAACGACTTCAGAAGACGTGTCACAGTGCAAATATTACAATGAAGAACACATGTGTGACTTTGCTTGTTTTGTCGGTAATAATTATAATTTTGTTTCGTATATATTATTGTAATGTAAACGCACGCGTTTAAGTAGAACTCAAATAATCTGTTACGGTCCCCAGTCGTTTTCAATAAACTCCGTCCAAAAAAGAGCCATGACGTTTAGCGCAAAGAAAACAAATAATGAAATTCAAGGTCTCGTTTAGCTGAACAAAATGTTTAAGTATATATACTTTAACATTGTAACTTGAGATTATAAAAAATATACTCAACAGACAATATTTGACCGTCCACACACTATATGCGCGGCTTAAGTTTATTTAGATTTTTAAATCAAACATGCGCTGTTGAAAAGTCTCGCTTTTGTGTGCGTTGATTTTTAATGTAATATTTATTGATTATCGTTGACTTTTTCCAGGCGCTCTTTGTGAACACTACTACGGCCGACGACGACGACGACTATAAGCCCCATGAAATTTTCAACAACGTCCATCCGGTTGTATTCAAAATGTACATGGAATCGCTGGCCGACAGTGTGCCCGAGATGGAAGACATGCTCGAGCTGTTCAACATGTATTGGGATCATGTCAAAGCAGGAATATGCGAATACAACCGCGTGATGTACTGCTATTGTTTGAACGAGGCGCACAATGTGTTGATGGACTTGTACTTTGGCGATCAGCAAAAAATCAAAATGGCCGAACCGTTCCTTATCGAGAAACAAAACGAAATGTTCCCCTTGGAAACGATCGACGAACTACGATGGGCCGAAGAAACGATTTTCCAGGTCCATTGGAAAGTACCGCCCGAGGTAGGTTTCAACATAAGTCCTCCTCAACTATATATGTATGTATTACTTGGCTGCAATATGCTTTGTAAAGAAATTACAAAAAAAAAAAAAAACAAGATGGTAGTGTTATGGAAATAACTGTAGCGAATATATACGTTTCAATTATGTGCGATAGCGTGGCAAAAGTTAAAAATACACTGAAATGTTTTTTAAATAGGTACTACACGAATTGGCAAAATATATCAGATAGTTTGGACGCTTTCTCATTAACGAGCTATAGCTGAGAATATAGAAGCTATAATGAAAAACATAATTCCAGTTTGATGATATGTCAAAATAAAAAGTTTGTCTAAAATGTCTAAAATTACAACAGGTATAGGTATGTTCTTCTAGTCCTCCTCTCCACACAAACATTGAGTTCTTACACACGGACAGAAGAGATATATCTATAAAGATATATAATATTTCTAGAAATAACAAAACGATTTTAGAATTTTTGGTATCGATTAAAAGCTCCAACTGTATTTTTCTGGAAATTTGAAAAAATTACATACCTATTTACAAGTGCCGTTCCACCATAGTGGTTATTATAGACATTTAGCTGACATTTTTCAAGTCTTAAGAAAATTTGAAAGCTTTTCTGTTAGAAACCACCTCGAGCTAGTTATAAAAGTTATATAATTTACAAGATCCAACCAGGCTAAAAGCTTTGGACGTGTTAGCTTTGTTTTATTCCTATATGTATAACAGGAGGCTTCTTAAAAGCTTGAATTAAATTATTTAAGTATGGAAAAAGATTAAATTAACTGATTAGTAAATTCGACAAAATTATGTCGAAAAATGTTTTTCAACCCGTTGGAAGTTTATATTAATACAATGTATAGGAAAAATGTTATTTTGTTTGTTAGCAAAAATTAAGGGCTGATGTGAAAAACATGAGCTATAAAAAGGAACATAAAGCATATGACGCAGAAAATCAACTTTTGAGATAAACCACTCGGTGAAATTTTTTATAGATTATCTAGGTGCCAAGCATTCCAGCTCTACGCCTATTACTATTTAAAAAAATGTTACTCCCCAACACTGGCAATCTCGAAATGAATTCCCAAAAACAATCGGTTGTGTACTGGTTGTTTAAGTCATTGGATTGATACAGTAAATTTGATTAAAACTCATACAGATATAACAGCGCTGTCTCATCGACTAACCATTTTATGTAGTATTTTATGATTTAAGTAGAGTAGGCATTATTCTTCCAACTATGCATAATAGTATCTATGTTTATTTGTATTAATTAAGTAAATAAGTTAAAAATGCACCTGCATTTAAAAAATATGTATATTATTTACCGTAATGAAATAATAAATACCTATTAGAATAAAAAAAATTAAAATACAATATCTAGTTATTAATTATTTTTATACGATTTTAAGTAGGTATTTTACTATTAGGGCATTGTATCTTTTTGTATACAATCAATAATTTTGGTGGTATACGAAGTATAGTATCTTTTACATGAGATTTTACACTTAAAAAACTAAAATAACTAAACAAGTGATTGGCTTTATACTTACACGATCTAAATTCAAACAGTTGAATTAAATATATTTATTTAGATTTTAAACGGTAAATGTGTTGAAAACAAGTGCAAAAAAATGATATGATAGCTGATAACACGGTTTTTGAAACGATATAACATGGCGCGAATTGATAACATTATCAATAACCTTAAGGTTATTTAAAGTTGTTTGATTAATCAAACCTGTTAAAAGAACATAAAAACAGTCCATATTATATATCTTTTATATTTTCGATTTTGTATATCAATTAAGATTCATCGTCGAGTTCGGGGATATCATGTTATTTTGATTTTCGACTAATTGATTATATTGTGGCGTTTTTTTTTTTTGAAGGATTTCACAGAAAATTGGACGGAGCCTTATGACATGGTAAAAGATAATATCGTTCCCGTTGCACTACTGGAGTACATGGAATCGCGACCGGACATGGAAGAGCTGCTGACTTTGTACAAATTTTATTGGAAATACCGAAGAAGCGGTCGGTGTGTCGACGAACTTGCGAGATTTTGCGGTTTTCTACTGGAAGCCTTTACCATTGTGTTCAACTTGTATTTCACTGGTCCCGGCATTAACATAGAAGCCGTCATGCCGTCGCTGTTGGAAATACAAGACCGACTAAATTCTGACTTAAGTTGGCCCGACAACGATGTGTTCTCGACTATGTAGTATTTACAGTTTTTAAATTTTCAACTACAAGACATTTTAAAACACACTTCCGTGTACGACGATTTCAAGCACTCGTCACTAATACTCGTGAGATTTTCAATGTTATGAAAAAATTACCCGCCGCTTTCCACCTAACCTGTTTGTTGCAACCTTTTTCATAACCACTAATCTTCGTTTGCCTATTTTAATTTGATTTTCATAGAATATAGGTACCGGTTTTTGTAAAAAATATATTATATTAAGTTCTTAAGTTACTCGTCGTACGTCTTCAAAACTGTCTAGGAATGTATTCAATAAGCATGTTGTCATATTTAAAAAAAAAAAAATTGTCAATAAACTATCTTTGGACTGGTACAATTATGAAGCCAGATTATACAGGGTGATTTATGAAGAATAGACACTCAATATGTCTTAAAATAATTGCAATTGTGTAGTGTCACTTCTTGAAAACTTTTTTTGTTCACGTTTTTCTACACTGTTTTATGAAATTACTAAAATTTTCATTTTTTTAAAAATATTTTCCAGAGCTTTATCCACTTTTGAAACTTAAGCAGTAACGTATACCATATATTTGATAAACTTTCTAATTTAAGAATAATTTGCTGACAATTTTGACTGGTCCATGACCAGTTTTGGATAATTACTTTTCAAGTTATTAAAGTTTAAAATTATGACTTTAGTCAAGCCATGTAATGTTTTTTTTAATTATAAATAACCCGTTTTCTCATAATACTAAATATATTGTACATACTATACTCCACCCTTTTTCCCGTCATAAATTTTAAACTTTAGTAGTAACTATCCTAAATTGGTTATCGACCAGTCACAGTACTTGTCAGCAAATTAGTCTTAATTTACAAAGTTAATTAAATATATACAATATCATAAAAATTTTGAAAATTGATCGAGCTTTGGGGAAAAAATTTAAAAAAAAGTTACAAACTTGAATATTGTCTAATATCAAAAACAACTTGAACTAAATGGTCTCCAAAAAGAAAAACTACAAAATTGCAATTGTTTTAAAATAAAACGAGTGTCTTATCCTTATTGAATCATTACTCTGTACTTGTTCTATTGTGTTTTATTAAAATTGCAACGAACATATTTTTCTAAAATAAAAAATACATCATAACGGTAACTATAACTGTTATGTTATTTACCTTGTGCGATTGTGAGTAGAAAATAAAACTGCAGTGACATGATAAAAATACGGATCAATCGGTTCTGTAATAATTAGAATTTTATCAGTCTGTTATATTTTATAATTTATGAGTGATTTTAATTATCTCTACAAAGCTCTTCGGTGAATGCAATTGATGAAGAGCAACACTTAGATAGTTGTTTGGAAATGTTGTGTAATATTCACAAGTATATTATGTTACATCAAACAGAACTAGACTTTCTTGTCACTACCAAACATATTTTCCCGTATTTGTATTTGCCCAAATGGCATTACCGTAATACGTTTTATTTTTTATATTATTTTTTAAAGTGGAGTTGCTAGTTTTTCTAAGGCAAATATTATTGCGAAATAATCCAGGCCAAAATGGTTTAGTCCTAGTAATTTTTTGTAGGTAACCTATTCATTCTTCTGTCGGCACTTGGGTTATAAAATAGTTAAGTGTGAAAAAAACCTATTATTACAATAAAGTGTAAATTTATCTGTATTGTTTTTTAGCAACGCTGGAATAATACTATATAAATCAACGTTTTTTTTTTTAAATTTATTATAATATTTAAATCGAGTGTGGTCGGATAGCTCACAAGTGTTTATCAAGTATGTTAAAATTATATTATTTCATCAGCAAAATTTATTTTCAAATGGCATACCGTAATATTTTTACTTTGATCTAAACTTAACCGACGCATTAGATGCGTTTTTTTAACATTTGTAAGTGTACTATTTTTTACTTAGGTTTTGGAAATAATTTGCCTAGAAATATAACCATTACATATTTTATAATATCGTGGAAATTTTTATTGAAACATTATTTGCGTTGTTCTTATTTGATTTTTATCATCAGATAATGGTGTGACAATATTAAAAAAACTATAAGACAGCGTTTATAATATATCACTTTTTTCGACGGAATATTACCAAAAGTATACATTATTATTAATTTGTGGACATTTTAATGAATATAACGGTGCTAAAACTATGCCCTAGAACCGGTGTACGTTTAATTTTTATAGAAAATATTACCATGCCAAACGAACACCAACGTTTTAGCTAAAAAACGGTTGACCTACTTTTAGACAAAAGTAAGTACACAGTTTTCGCATAGTCAAATTTGATTTACTGAATTCGAAAATGTAACCGCACACCTGAGTAAACGTTCAACCGTTTTTTTTCTTTAACTACACTTACAATTGAGGTGACTTAACAAGGGAACGGATAATCGTTATTGTATTTCTTTTAAATAACTAGAATATTCTACTTGTCTGTTTACAGATGGTCAAATCGTTGTGTTGTCTGCGTTTGATCGCGCTAATGCTTTGGTGGTTTTCCTGTCCGCAAATTATAACTGCCGTTTCAATGCAAAGTAAGTTAGACTAGTAAGAAACTAATAATTCCAATATATTGGTTTGACGGTTTTCTCTGTGAACGATTAGTAACAGCACAATTGTTTCAGCGTGTACTATCCGGATGAGAATGACAAGTGAGTCTGTCTGAGTGGCAATGTTTAATAATTACTGTTCTTATCGTTTTATCTTAATTGTCAAGCCAAAAAGTTATTGTATTTTATAATTAAGTTTTTTTTTTTTTTTTTACTTTAATTTAGATAACATGATTTCCAGTATTAACGAAGGTAAACAGCCACAACTATTAAAGTGTGCACATTAAATGTTAATCAAAAAGTTATTTGAAATTATTTAAGAAATTCCAACTATTTTTGACGTCTTCTTAATATAGAAGAAGGACTACGGATTAATAAAAAGACACTTTTTAATTAAACTGATTAAACTTTAGATGAACAGTGTGCTTGGTTTCAAAAAGTATTCGAACAATTGAACCAGCATAGATTTTTACACGGTAAGTAATTGGTTTTTTTTACTACATTGAGTTTTTTTATAGCTTAAATTATTCAAGCTTGCTTAAGAGCACAGTTAAGACCACAATCAAATTAAGACAAAATATTAATAAATACTTTCAACAACGTACGTTTTTTTTTGTTGTTCTAGACCAATTTGAAAGACTCCTGTTTCCAAGAAGTAATATCATTTTGTTATAATATATAATAACGTTTGCACCTACTGCTTTCATAATTAACTCTATTGTTATAACCTTACAGAATTCGTAGAACACAATTACCTCGAAAACAGTAATTATTATATTTATTTATTACTATTCTTAGTCATGTTTAAGGGGTTCAATATAGGCAATTTACTTTTTCATAGTTTTTTTGTGTTTTTGCTTATGTCAGACGCCAAAAATTATGTTTTTCTTATTAACAACAGTAGGCAATTGTTTAAACCCATAATAATATTTATCTTTAGCATTATAATTACTAAGAGCCAACACATTTTTAAGTTTATTAAAAGCACTATCACAAATTTTATCCCAAGTCCACACAATATCTTTGCTCAGTAGACCTCTTAATGGCTCAACTAATTCAGACATATTAGGTATAAAAATTCTTAGATAGTTAACCATTCCTGAAAACGATTGGAGTTGCTTAAAATTTAGTGGTGTTTTCTTAATTCAACAATAGATTCATTCTTGATCAGGTTCTATTCCTTTCACACTACTTGCACTATTTGAGGCTTTTGCGTTGTTTCTGTGGCTTCGAAGAATAACAGGACCTGTTCCTTGAATAATTTGTAATTTTCAGCCACATTGCCACAGTTAATTTCAAACATTCTGGTTTATTAAATTCCATAATTAACACTTTATTTCACACGTGCATTTTTTTTTATCTTATTTAATCGTGTAAAAATTAATTAGTTCGCGACTGCGCCATGTTTTAATACATTGTTAACACATAAAACAATATATATATTACATCTAAACGACTTTACTATTATTTAATTCAAGATTTTAATTAAAAAAATCACACACAAGTTATAACATAATTTTATATTAAACAAAACACAAGACAGTGCCTTTTTTGTGATAATGATAATAATAACGATTAAATTGACAACACATTGATATGATAAGAAATAACACAACAATTAATTATTCTATTGTTATAACCTTACAGCATTCGTAGTATGCAATTTCAACGAAAACAGTAATTATTATGTTAATTTATTACTATTCTTAGTCATGTTTAAGGGGTTCAATATAGGCAATTTACTTTTTTATAGTTTTTTGTGTTTTTGCTTATGTCAGACGCCAAAACTACGTTTTTCTTATTAATAGCAGTTGGCAATTGTTTGAGCCCATAATACATTTGTTTTATCGAAACTACTGAATCGTATTGAAATGTTATTATTTTGTAGCTGCACGCGACTATCTAAGCGATAGATCCAAATATTTTTGTAAAGAAAATATCGACAGGTCACTTTTTGAAGTAGAAATTTCCAAATTGATTTGTACTAATACAGGTACGAGACAATTATTAAAGAGGTGACATGACAGAGTACATGTCTGTGTTTTTATTAATCTGCATGTTATAACATTAGATGTGCGGCTGATAGACCACCTGGACGTAAGTCCGCCAAACGGTAAGTTAGTCCAGTAGTGACGGGTAACCTTATGGCGTGGAATAAAAACAAGAAAGTTCATCCTATGCAAAATTTATACACAATATCAGAATGTTTTTTTTTTTCAAATTATTATTAATGATTTCCAAAACGATTGCGGGAACCGTGTACGACTGATATATACTATTTTTTCATAGTGCTATACGATTACGAATTCGAAAGACAGAGAAGAAGACAATTGCTGATACCGATTTTTCGTCGGCTGTTGTATCTGTCCAAAGGTGATTTTGTTTGAATTTTTTTTATTTTTAAGCAACAAATTAGGAACGATTAGTATATTATAATACGAATTTATGATATATGCAAATGGCATATATCATACATTTTATGTGTATACAGCAATCTATTGATAAAAATCGACAGTACACATATTTTTCAGACAGATAGCGGGGTAACAAAATAAATATCAACCGTAATCAATAACTGATATATCAATATAAATGTACCTATTGCATATATTATGCACGTACATGCAACGAAGGGTTAAATTCTAAATTTAGTGGGTTTTTCCGAATTTATTCGATTAACGCCATTTGGAAGCAAACGAACTAAGCATTCGAATTTAATTTCAGCTCATGCCAACGTGGTGTACCTATTCGATTGCCTGTTTTAGGTGTTATTGTTTTTTCCCCCTATAAAATATTTGGCCAACTCTATTAAAATTGCAACCATTTGCTTAGCCACCGTATACATGTGCACCGATCAATTCGACATCAAGTGCAGATTATTGGCTTTTATACATCGGATTAACGACGACGATATTAGCTATCAAACTGTGCATTGCCGAGGTGAGAACAACTACTGTATGATCGAATCGTCGTACCATAGTCATCCGGGGTTGAAGAAGACACACACGTTTTGCGATAATCTTATCAGCGACCCGACCGCAGCCAGTTTGCCAATACTTAAATTGAACGCCGACGGTCGGTTCGAACTGTGGGAAGACTATGAACGGTGGATTTTTGGACAATGATAAACCGACAAGGTTATTTTTTTATTCCAACAGTCGTTGACGTTATAAACAATAAAATGAAACGTTAAAAAATAAACAAATCAATGAAAATTAAATACATTATTATTCGTTTGTACAAACCAATCAGAGTTCATTCGCTGCGCATACATGCTAAAGTTAGAAATATTATGAATTGGCAAAATATGTTATCCTTGTCCCACGAAGATTTAACAAATGAATATAAACTAGGTATTGTTCTCTAGTGAATATTGTAAAGATTTGCTTTTTTTAAAAATAATTTATATAAATTTGGACCATAAACACCACGTTTTTTATTGCAAATATTCGCTAGAACAAAAGTTTTATTCATTTGTCAAGTCTTTGTGGGCCACCTGTATAAGTACTATAATAGCTTTAGTATGGTTTTCTTGATAGTGTTGATAGTCGGTCCAAGGGTTTTTTTTTTTTGACATCAAGTACCGTACTTGTACAGTCGCAAAAAGCACTTTAGAATAGCAACCATATATATTCTAAAACACATTTACCGAAAGCATTAAGAACAAAATAGCCAACTAATAGATTTGGACTTCTTTTTGCTTCTATCAAACCGACCGCAGTCATGTAAATTATAATAAAACAACAATTGCCATTATACTTGAAAACATACAGAACGACACTCGTTCTGCCAGCAAAATTGGCAACACACAGATTAGATCTCTAAGATGAGTACTTTATCTTTTTGAGTGTAAGATAACCACTATGGCGCTACACGAGTAGGAGGTATGCATAATTGTATCAGTATTAAAGTATAATTCACTACAACCGGCACAGAACAACAGTTTAAGTAGTTAAATAGTTACATTGTTCCAAAAGTTCAACAAATACTTGAAGCAACGCACTTGGATTCCAACACAGTGAGAGCTATTGAAACGTTGTATTTATATACTGTTGAGGTAAGTCGATTCAATTTCAATAACCGAGTAGTACTAAAACACCTCTGTGAACTCTTTGCATATATATTTTTCAATATAACTCTATTAGATTGCTTCCTTAATAGAGTTTATACTGATACAGAGAAAAAAAATGTTTTATTTCTTAAAAAATACACAATTGTGAGCTAGACTTTTTTCATTTCAAACATTTTATAATGCAAACCAGTCTTCTTTGACAGACAAACAAACTAATTAGAATGCAAAACCGTTAAAACAAAGTATTGTATTTCCAACGTTTAATACATATTTTTTCATGCATTAAATGATTATTCTACGATTTTATCATAAATCCAAAATACATTTTCAGATGTATTAAACACAGTGACGATCGTTCAAGTTGTAATACTTTGTGTTTGCTTTATTTAGTGAGTTAACAACAACTATTTTTGCTTTGACGTAAAGCTTAAAAAGTGTTTTATAAGCTAATGCAATTACCAAAAATAGGTAATTTAAAAACAAATTTAAATAGTTTGATAAATATAAGGTAACAGTACAATAGGTACTATTTTTTTCCATTATTAGTACTATATTATAATCAAAAATATTTTCTTTTATTAAATTAAAACGTTACAATAATACATTTTGTGTAGGTAAACTTAATTGAGTTTTTATGTTGTCTTTACAGTTTATAATTACTTTTTCAAATAGTACTTTGGATAAAATATTATCTTTAACTGTGTATACTTGCAAAATTATACACATTTTATGTTACATAAAATGTACCAATAAAAAACTGATTTTTGAATTTTTAACTTTAAAACTAAAGTTGCTATCCTAAACATTTTGTAAAAAAATGATATAAAACTCTTTCATTCTTTAAACTGTCTTGTAGAAAATATTGGATTTTTGATGACCATAGTGCTACACATTAATTAATTGATTATTCGATAGGTACACCTAGTGTTAATAATTTCCTTGTCCTTATCCTCTAATACAATAACTATTTTATTGAATTTCCTTATTGACGACTTATTTAATACATAGCCGAAAAATCCTCCATACTCTAGGTACTTAATTCTTTTACTTTACTTGGTATAAAAAAGTAATATTTCATTGTGTAAAGTTAATATTCAGAATAAATAATTTCTATATTTCAGTTGATTATTATTATTTAATATTCGGCATTAAACTCAGTTCTTGACATGAAGACAAAAACAATTAAATATTGCTTGGCTTCATGTGCTGTTACAAATAAATTGCATTTTTCCGTAAGTACTACAAAAAATTATTATTTTTATTATTTTTCGTTTTTTTTTTTTTGAAACTTTACTAGATGTAACTTTACCCGATTGAATATTTTTTGGAAACCCGTTTCTGAACAATCTAAACAGCTTATTTTATAATGAGCTATTTTTAGGGGATAATTCCTAATTTAAACAAAATAACATAGATCCTCAAACTGAACTAACTGGTTTCTTTTAGAAAATATAGTTATAAACCTATAATTGTTTTTTTTAACGATAGATCCGTGTTCTATCACAAATGCGCTGTTTGTCCAAAACCGTCTCTGTCGTTAAATGTTCTACAGGCTGTTCAGTTCGAAATTATGTCACTGAAAATGACGGTTCTTATTTCTTCAATAAAATGGCTGCCAACCGCAAACCATCGGAATTGCGCGAAATCGGTTGGTAACATGACAGTATTATTTCGTATTAATGACTTCATAATATTGTTTATTTGATAAAATATTGTCTTAGGTACCTATTTCGTGTGTAACTATTATTATGTCATTTTGTTCTAGCCACTCTGGTAGCGAAATTGCCCGCAAGTGCCATCAATTTGGGAGTTGGCTATCCTGATGTAAACACTTTTCCGTTCAATGGCATCAGTTTTGAACTAGTCACCGGTGAGTGTATTAAACTCAGTGATAAAGAATTAGCTGTTGCTTTGCAGTATTTACCTTCTTTGGGGTAAGTATCGTGCATTCTCTTAATGTACTCTATTAGGAAGTGTAATTGAGTGAGGTCGATTATAAGTTGGATTATGTAAATAGGAACAAAATAAAAAAATGTATACTTACTATTATTATTGGATATATTGTTGCAAGATCTAAAGGTCATTTTCAATTAAGCCAGGATTAACAAAAATGCACTTAATTCAAAATATTGACTTGATATCATATTATTTTACATCACTTACGCGTATAGGTATAATCTACTGTTAAATAAGTTGAAAGAAATACAAGATTATTTCCATGGACCTCAAGACTGGAACACTAGAGGCATCTTGATAACGTGCGGAGCACAAGAAGGTTTATCAAAATCAGTTGATATGTTTATGCAGCACGGCGATCCTGTCATTGTACCACAACCCGCTTACGCGCAAGCCCTAGACTTGGTGATGCCTTTTTTATAGACTTAATAGAATTATCTAAAATTTGGATGATTAATTGGTATATACCACTCTCCTTGCGTTTATATTGTTGTTGTCAAAAGTCTACATCTAATTGTATTCATTTGTATCTATTTATAGTTCAGAGCATACGAGCCGGACTTTATTCGTATCAGCCAAGACGCCAATGGGGTCGTAGTGGACGAAATGCAAAATGCTCTGAAGACGAGAAAACTGAATAATCAACCAATGCCAAAAGTAAAAAGCCCCAAACAAACCGTTTATCGTTTCTATTAACATCGTTTGACTTATATTTTTGGTAGGTCATGTACTTGAATCCAACCGGATCGAATCCCGCCGGCAATGTGATTGCCGATAGCAGAAAACGTGAAATTTACCAGTTAGCTTGCCAGTACAACATAGTCATACTCGAAGACGATCCATATTATTTTTTAAATTTTCTCGAAGTAAGATGAAAACATGTTTTTTCGGGCCATCCCCACAATTAGTTGACGTTTATGTACATGTCCATGTTCGGTTTCCTCTCCTCTCTTTCGTATCTACAATTCCTCCTATCCTCCCCTCTATTTGGCACTAATATCTTATCACAGAATAACCAGAAGACACTTGACTGTCTCTTCATATTCTTTATGTTCTTATTGACTTAAAATGACTCGAAATCGGTAAAATTGTTGTGTAAATCAGTGTAGCCAAATATTAACCATTATTACAAATTATTGAGTGCTACCGAAACTGATTTCACATATTTTCCGGTTAGCCAATGGACAGTGTCGCCTGAAATAAAAGAGAAAAATGGTAATTATCTTCACACTGGCTACCCCGATTCTCTGACAACAATGTTTAGCATATCTATACCTCCAAAAAACCCTAGTGTAATACTTGAAAAGTGTCTCTTCTGGTTATTCTGTGAGCTTATCGTCCGTCTCTTATCACCAATCCATTATCAGATAATTCTTATCACTAATACTTGATCAGCTATTTCTTATCACTGCGAAATTGATGACATGAGTTCCAGATGGAACCCCAGCCTTGAAACACATGACTATGTTAGTGTTAATTAGCCAATCGAATCAATATAATATTAGTGGTAATTTCCAAAATCGTTTCGTGCACAGAAAAATCCAGCTAGTTTTCTGTCGATGGACACCGAGGGTCGTGTGATCCGGCTAGATTCGTTTTCCAAAGTGATGAGCTCCGGCCTACGCCTCGGATTTGCCACCGGATCGGCCAGTTTCATACGGAAAATGGAGTTGGCCATGCAAAATTCGTCGTTGCACCCATCGTCCTTGTCGCAGATTATGGCGTACAAATTACTCGTGCAATGGGGAATCGAAGGACTCAAATTGCATTTTGAACGTGTCAAAAAGTATTACAGACAAAAGAGAGATCACATGCTCCGGGCAGTAGAACAAAATCTCAGTGGTGAGACACTCAAAAATCAAACATTCCAGTCACTGTCCTCCTCCGTTACTGCATGCGAATACTCATCAAATTCTCCTTAGGCTACCCACTCCCACTGTGTTTTCCTTTGTATTTCTATCACAGTCCACAAGATCTAAGACTATCGCTGTCTATTGCGGCGATATTGATAATTTAACTATTCCCGCAGGACTAGCGGAATGGTATGAACCCACCGGCGGAATGTTCCTATGGTTGAAAATCAAAGGTCTGGAAGATACCAGACATCTGGTGACATCGACATGTCTGGCAAAAATGGTGATATTCGCTCCTGGATTTGCTTTTGCGACCGACACGAAAAAACCATCGCCTTATATTCGGATTTCTTACTCGGTCGCGTCTACCGAAGAAATCGACAAAGTATGTGTTAATATAAAAGTCAATTTTCACGAACAAAGACGGTTGTTTCACATAATATTTTAATACATCACATCAATCTAAGCTGTCCAGTAAATCTCTCTCGATATAGGTTTATTGTTCTATCTTCGACATTTAAATAACGCTTTCTACTATTATAGGGAATAGCTTTGTTGGCTGAAGCTATTCGCGAAGAACTCAAAAGTATAAAGACACAGTGAAGAACTTTGCAAATGATGACTGGTTTATCAGTTTCCTTTTATTATTTTAGTAGTTTCAATGTACTATTATAGTTTACTTCTTTGAAATAAAAAAAAAAAAATTGGTTTTTTTAAAAAAAAAATAATATTTTAGTCTCGTTAGTTAGTAAAGAAATAAATAGTATTGCAATTTGAAGGGAATTATCAATTGATGGACAACTGAACTTTGATATTTTATACCATCTGAGTTTGCATTTGTAGTCTGTACCTACCGTTCGACGTGCATTGTACGTATTGCGCTGCCCGTCGAGTGGAAGTCTGATAAAAATAAACGAAAAACATACTAATCGTTAAGTATTTTGTAATCGAATTTTTTACAAATAATAATCAATAACCTTGATAAAATATGTTATTAAGTTATCTCTTAGAGTGCAAATGTTAGTGCTGTATGGCTCGAATGTTGCGCCAGGAAAGTAGTAACATAATTATCACGGTAACATATTGGTTTGTCTTTGTTTAATAATAATAATTACCTTCAAGCTTACAAGTTACAAGTTCAACATAAGCCAAATTGTTATTACTGAATAATTATTTTAATCACCATCAGAAATGGACAGTGATTATTTTTTTAACAAAGCCACCAAGCAACGCAAGCCGTCTGTGCTGCGAGAAATCGGTTAGTTTATAAGAAAATTTTATTTATTATTTAATAACACTTAACAAATTATTATATCAATAGCATTTTTATTGCAGCCAACAAGATTTTCAAAATGTCAAAGGGCAGCATAAACCTTGCCGGCGGTTTTCCGGACGTGCAAACTTTTCCATTTCAAGAATTCAGTTTCAAATTAAGAACCGGTGAACACGTTCGGCTTGCCGACAAAGAACTCGCTGTGGCGTTACAATACTTGCCAACATTAGGGTAAGTGTATCACGAGTTATTGATCTAAAAGACCCTTAAAAAATGCGTTAAGAAACAATGAGTATCTATAAAACCTAAATACTGTCTGACAATGAAAAAAAAAATGATTTTAAATGTGGAAAAATAAAAAAAATATTAAATTAGCTAATATTTGAATAAAATATATTTTGATACCTAAAATCAGTTAGAATAGGCGACAAAGACATAAATATCATGTTTTAAACTATAAAATAATTACATAAATAGTGCAATTTTCAAACTTTAATTTATTTTAATGATAATTATGTTAAACCATATGAAATAGAACAATTTGCAAATAGAAATATACAATTTTATTTACTTACAGGTATGGAAATCTTTTAACTAAGCTGAAAGAAATCCAAAACCGATTCCACGGACCACAAGACTGGAATGCCAAAACCATTTTGATCACCTGTGGAGCACAACAAGGTTTGGCCTATGCTTTTGAAATGATTTTGGAACGTGGCGATCCTGTGATTATAGCTGAACCTGCATTTGAACTAGTTTTAAATTCTGTAAGTAATATTATACGGCACTTAAGTAGTAATTATTATTATTATTATTAAACCCTAATAAGCATATCCGTTTGTATATTAAACAAATCTGGCAATTTTCCCTGATTCTTAAGTTGCACCTTTTTGATTTACTCCCATTGAGGCTTTAAACTTCATCTAGTCCAGATATTAGTTCCCTTTCATTGAAAACAGCCTAATCTGAGATACTTGAAACGTTTTACACTCCTAAACACCTAATAACATTTCTCTACTTTACCATAAAAAAAAACAATTATACAATTAGTACAATACATTACAAAACATTCATAGTGGTAATATTATGATTGACAGTTAAAACCGTTTGAACCAGAGTACATATCGATTGCACAAGATTCGATGGGTGTCATAATAGAAGACATTGAAAATATTTTATCTACAAGAAGAAAACACGGTTGGTCGATGCCTAAGGTAAAAATAGACGAAGCCCAATTACCTAATGTGATACTACAGGATTAAACAAAAAATGTAATCTGATCATAAACAAATTGTATTCCGATCAGGTGATCTATATAAATCCGACTGGGTCGAATCCAACCGGAATCGTTATGCCCAACGACAGGAGACGTGAACTATATAGACTGGCTTGCGAATACAACATAATCATACTCGAGGACGATCCGTATTTTTTTTTGAACTTCCAAAAAGTAAGATTAGCTCTTTTGTAATTATTAGTCGGACGTACTCGATCAATCTTAAGCAACAGTCATTGTAGCTTGAGATTCAGATTGACGTTTTCCATACACGGTCAATCAATCATTTTCATCATTTTAAGTAAAAAAAAAATGCCAGTTGACTGGGGGTTGGGGCATAGTGGGGACAGAGCATACTGAGGGTAGTTTAGAAGCTATAAATGGTCAGTTTTGATTGTGATTCAAGACTGCATGGACACCTTATGAATGTACTATGTATGAGTTGAGCAATCGAGATGCTAGTATTTCAAATGTACATTCTACGATTCGCTGAGTCAAATAATCCATCAACCTATATTTAACAATCTATAGTTAAATATAAGCTTATCTATGCTTAAATTTCTGGATAAAGTTTTATCAACTACAAAACCACATAGTGATTGGATATTTCTTGTTCAGAGTATTAACTGTTCAAAAATGTCGTATGGTCTGTACTATGATAGTTTCTGAAATCAGAAGGGGATGATAGTCGCAATACATCTAGTATATTATGGCTGGAATATGTGTTTCTTTTGAACTATTCTTTCATTCAAAATCGTTTCTTTCTCTTGGTTTTCTTTAATTTAACACAAGCAAGTTCAATGGCAATACCAATTCTCAACTCATTGACTGAGAAAATGAATGAACGATTGAAGGTAGTCATTCTCGATTGACCGTTTGTGGAATGCACCAATCGTCAGCCAAATAGAGTAGTCAATCAAAATATTGTTGTCAATTTCAGGAGAACCCTATCAGTTTCTTGTCGATGGACACCGAAAGCCGGGTAATTCGAGTGGACTCGTTTTCAAAGATCATGTCGCCCGGCATGCGCCTCGGCTATGTCACGGGGTCCACCGAATTCGTTCTGAAAATGGAGATGTTCGTGCAAAACTCTATCCTACACGTGTCGTCGCTGTCGCAGATGGTCGCTTACAAGCTTCTTACTACCTGGAACGACCAAGGGTTCGACGCCCACGTGGCGCGCATCAAAGAGTTCTACAGACAAAAGAGAGATTGCATGATGCGGGCAGTAGCAAAACACCTCGGCGGTAATCCGTTAATAGTCAAACACTTACAATTGAAGGAAAGACACACTGGTTCATGAATATGTCTTATGACGAGCTGATTGTCCGTCTCTTATCTGCCGTTTGTCTCTTAACAGCTGATTCTCTTATCAATAATTTCTTATCAGTTTTCCAGGAATTATTGATATCACCTTATCATCTTATCACGCCTTCCATTCTATTTTGGGGCACGCAAACTTTCCACGCCATAAGACACACATTTATCTCAATATCATTATGACAAACGAACCTTGTGATTAACTATAATGTGACTTGTGTGTCAAAACAGAATTGGCCGAATGTTGCGAACCGGCCGGTGGAATGTTTTTGTGGTTGAAAATTGACGGTCTGCAAGACACCAAAAGACTGGTGACTGAAAACTGTTTGGAAAAGCACGTTATCTTTGCTCCTGGTTTTTCCTTTGGGTCCGATCACCAAAAGCCATCACAGTACGTTCGCGTGTCCTATTCAGTCGCCTCTCCCGAAGATATCGATCGGGTGAGCAAAAGCATTACTATCGATACAACCGTTAAATGATCAAATTTGTTTAGAAAGTGCATTGTAGAAATGCCCTTGAGTAGTAAAAACACATTTTATCGACATTTTCTCAAGAGGTCGCCACATAACCTATTTGTCAACAAGTAGGTAAAGTATGTTAAGCATCTTTAACCGACTGTAAAAAAAAATAATTGGTAAAATGACGAATAAAGACTATTGAAAAAAATCAACTATATTAATTTATAAAGTGTCGTTTCAAACAGGTTTTCTGTTTTTGATAATGTGTTTTCAATAAAACTGAATCAAACATATCAACATTTAAACGCTATATTGTTTATGTCTCTACGTTTATTATCGACTTTGTAATATCTTTAATATGAAAGAATTATTCTGTTCCGAAAATTGTTTAGCGTGGCGTCCCCTTGGAAAAAACAATTTAAAGCTAATGTTTTTAGAAACTTAGTACAACAAAGTACCAACTATCAAGTTTAATTTGAGTGATTTAATGAAAAATAATCATTTTACAGAAATTCATTGAGCACTTTTTTTTTCTAGGGTATTTCATTACTAGCCGTTGCTATACGAGAAGAACTGCTAATGAGATGATTTATATATTTATTTAGGTTGAATTCCCTGAACATTTTTTTAAATATTTGTAATATCGTTGAAGTTTAATATTTATATATACAGTGTAAATTTGATAAATTTGTCTTAAGTTCAAGAAATACTTTTTTAACATTTTATTTTAGAAAATACCAATGAGTGGGAACTGTTATTTACATGCTTTCCCCTGTATAAATGAATCCTAAGTAAACATTTAAACGGCTAAGAAATAAAATAATAAAATATTTAATATATATTTTGTGGTTGTGTTTTTAAAAATATTTTTATTATTTTATTTTTTTACTATTTATTATAACCTCGTGTGTTGCTTAAGATTTTTCTACAAAGTGTAAATGGTTTAAAGCGACCTAATAAAATTGAAAATTGTCTACAACGTAAATTAAGAGAAATATGATTGACAAAACAGCTGAAAATGGACATATCATAAATCGGACTGTAGGAAACGTGGGAAATCGCCTATATTATTATTTTTATTCCAATCCGGTACTCTCACCGGTGACCGATTAACTTTCTAATGTCCAAAACGTATTTGACCTAGAAATTGTACAAAAAAAAAAATAAATGTCATTTGTTTGGGGGATTTTTTTTATCAAAACAGATTATCGTTAAAAAACCATAAACAGAAAATCGTTAAAGTATAATACAGGGTGATTTAACAACTATGAATCAGTCGATATCTTAAAACATAAAAGACTTTTATTAAAATTATTCTTTTTCATACTCTTACAGTTATTAGTTAGCTCAGGTTTGATATATTTACCAACTATAAACTTCTTATGTGACCCCATCCTTTATACTTGAAAATCCTACTAACCTGTTTATCATATCAACTTTTTAAATTAACAATACTTTTTAAGTTCGAAATTCAGAACTAGAGGTGGAGTAATGCCGCCAGACAAAACTAATTCTGTACAACTCTGGTAAAGGGGGATAAGTCTTAGCTAGCTACTTTTGGAAAAATGTAAATAAAACATTTAACATTTACTGTTAGAATTGTTTTGGTCTAATTTATATGGGAACAAAATATAAAAATGATTTAACTTATTTTTTAACTACTATACTGCTAAATCGAAGAAAATTGGTTAACTTACACAAAATGTTTTCTTAGTTATCATTTTTATTAACTTAAAAGTCAGTATCACAAATGCCAATTGAGAAAAACCAATTATGTCAAGTGTGTTTTTTATTTGCATAAAAGGGCATGACTTTGCTTTTTTACACAAACTAGATCACTTCATTATCCCATTTTCACATATGAATATTAAGGTTTTTAAATTACACAATTATTTTGAAAAATATTTTTTACATATTATATAATCCCAAATTTGCATTTTTCGACTTAGTCCCCTTTAACCAAACGCCGCAGAATTATTATTAATTTAAACGGTTTACGGAATATATGCTTCGCCATTTAAAAAGCTTAATTTCTTATGGGTTTTTTACACACAAGACACGTGTTCTAATAATTGTTTCAGATTGTTTCAAAGAGTAGTTTGAGATATTTGAAGATGCATTTTAGTCATAATACGCAAGAAAATGTATTCTATTAATTCATGATAAATATTTATTAGAAGATAAAAAAAAAAGAAACAACTAGTTCTTTCTCATTTCTATTCAATACTGACTACTTGTGATAGTAGATAAAAAAATCCCGTGGGGAATCCCGTGACAACAGCCACATATATAATGTAATATTTTCCCTTGATAATTTTTAGGAATTTATATTATCACATTGAAATACCACAACATCAGTTTTTCATCAGGTAATTTTTGTCTTGGAATACATATTGAAAGGTAACACGCAAACTTTGGTTGAGGGCAAAATGAGGGCATTTTCTGTCACAAAATTGAACCTGACCGGACGATTTAAACCGTAAAAGTATAAGAATGAATATTTTTAAAAACGACCAACGTCGGTGAATGCGATTTATTGGTAGGTTCACCGAAATTACATAACTTTAATAATCTCTAACGAGCACAGCCAGCAGCACGGCGGTGTCAACTCGTCTTACCTTGGTTTTTCACTTCGGTCCCCACCGAACCAAAGAGCCTTTCTCCTAGTCCGCCTTGAAACGACGGCAGGCGCTCGCCCAACCAGTGGTCCGCCGGTGTGTCGTTTGTGCGGTTGTCGTTGTGCCGGCCGAGTCGTAAACAACGCAATATTTATAAAAAAAATATATATTTGCTTTTTTACCGAAAACAATACCGGGTTTCCTCCAAGAAAAATCCAAAAAGTTTGGCTCGGGTTGGCCCCGGATCGGCCTGGACGTGCGGTCATGGGTGGAATCGATGCAGTCTGAAAGTCTACACTGTGTTTTTGTGCTTGCTTGAGCGTGCTTAAAACCAAAATGCTGGACTGGCCGAAGGGGACCAGCTACCTGGAGGTGGTGGGCATCGTCGGCCTGTGCCTTTGGCTGCTCAAGCTGACGGTTGTCGCGTCCAAATCGGTTTACCAGAATTTACTAGCGCCGTTGATGGGACGCGGCGTGGACTTTAAGAAAACCGGACAGTGGGCAGGTAATAGCTATTGAAAAAAAATAATAACGTAAACCTCAATAGACATCCTTGAAGTCTTGCGACATAATACCGCAAAGCATCTTGTTCACTGTCTACTACGATATCCTCATTTGTGTGACGACAAGTTTTTCCTATTCGGCGAAAGCCATTACAATTTTTTCTGTAATTTCTAAACCAGTAACATTCGTTAAATTGTTATTACTGACCTGAAATTGGAGTGTCTAATTTTAGATCAACAACTAGTCTGGTTTAAAATTGCTTCTTAACCGAACTTAAATGATAGACCAAAAAAATATATACAAACGGAATGGATTCATACAGTTTACATCTAAACATTATTTTTAAATTAACTACATATTAAACTCAACTTACAATTCGTTTTGTAACGTTTAAAACAAATGTACTATAAAAACTAGTTTAATTAAACTACTTTGAAAAAACAAAACAACGTTGCTTACCTCTTTTTTCCAAATTGAATATTGTTTATTGCATTTTACAAGAACACCGTCTGCATATTATCAGTCTGAATAACTATACACAGTTATTAAGTGAATCCAAGAACTAAAATGTTAAGTTATTGACTGATTAAACATTTTTAATTTACTCGATTAGAAGTCCCATAATTTTTAATTTTTTAATTATGGTCAAAGCGTACAATGATTTTTAAATATTTCCATTTGACGATCGACTAGGCGAAGTATGAATTTAATCTTACAGACAACAATTTTTATGGAATTCATATTTCAAAAATATATTGAACATTTTTTTGAACCTTATTTTCGCTCACATTCGTTTTAAAAATACAAATTTTTTTTTTTTTTTTAGTTGTGTGCCAACTAACGAATTATCGTAAACCGACGTTTTAGAGTTAAATAAACATTTTTTTTTCGATTTCCCCAATAATAATAATACTAATAAATTGTGTTCTCATGACATGTTTAACAAGATAATAATGTTTACATTTTTGTACACCTAATATTACTAGTTGAGGGCTACACGCGGGTCATACACTCCAACCCGGAAGGTGTGTCTCTTTTGGCATTTATAATAATTATTTCATTTATTACCACGCACAAACGTGACTTGGCAATGATTTTTTAGGAAAAAAAATCTCTAGTTTTCGGTTAACACAATTAAACAACCTATGAGACAATACTATTCTTATTCTATTCGTAGGAAAGGAAACTAAAATTTACATTATAAAAGGCTGTCGTTGGGCGCAAGGGCTGTGATTCATGGCAAGTGCCCCATCACCGTTAAATTGTATTAAGATTGGATTGGTTAAGTTTCATTTATAATAAAATAATAAAAATACAAATGTTGATAATCCAAAACATCAATTTTTGTATTTATTTTCAAAATTAAGTACTAGAATAATTTATTTATTTAAACGACACACTATGCACAAACAGAGTCAATTATTTAGTAGGCCTAAAGCAAAACAAAAATAGTTGTAGGGCTAGTCATAGTTTTGGAGAAGCCTAAGCCAAGAACACATAAATATATATTTTAATATCCGTTAAATCGATTGAAAAGCGTCAGATCTACATCAATTAATGATTCTAACCACTTTCACTCGTTTGGTTGTATTTTTATTTTTCAGTAATAACCGGTGCCACCGATGGAATTGGAAGAGAATACGCCGAACAGGTATACTTTGTTCATTGAATCGACCTTATCGGTGTTATTAATAAGAGTTACCACTAAAATAATAATTACAAAATGCTTTCTTCACAGTTGGCTGCCAAAGGCATGGACGTGGTGCTGGTCAGTCGGACCAAATCGAAATTGGAGAACACGTCCAACGACATAAGTGAGTGAGCCGGTACAAAAAAAAATATCAAAATATGTAGACTATACATGTTAAACAAATTCTGCCAATTACTTTTGTCTAGATTATTATTAACGCAAATAATAATTGCCATAGAAAACGAATTTAATTACATTGTAATAATTACACAAATCAGGTCCTTTCAGACTAATTAAAAACCGTATAAAAACTCTTTAGATTTCTAATTTAAAATATCGACGTTTGTTGATTTTAATTGCTTAATATTAGACTAAATTTTATTTATTTTATTTTATTTGGATTCCAACATCCATCCAAATTGATAAATCGTTGTTGAAAAAAAAGTGTATATCCTTACCTTCCCTTATGGAATATTATATTTATTACTAACATATTATGACAATTTCCTCAAAATCACATCTGTAGTAATTTTGAGTGGCAAAATTTAGAGTTTTACGAATTCTACAAATATTAATAACAAAAAAAATCTTTAAAAACACATTTATGAATAGTTATAACAGAATTGAAGCGAATTTTCTTATCAGCATTCCCAGAATTATATTTCCCCTTATCACCATACCGCTTATCACTATCCCACCACGTATATTTATAGCAGACTTTATTTTTTTTTTTGGCGGCCATGTGCAATTGTGTCAATGTTTACATTATGTTATCAATATTTCATTGTGATATAATGATTGCAACATACCTTATACCTCATACCACAACGATACGTTGATAACATAATGTAAAAACGACGGGGATCCAATTAGTTAGCACCGTCTGACTTGTTTCAAGCTTAAGCCACGATCAAGTAATAATTATTGTATTTTATTCGTGTTACACAGAATCGAAATACGGCGTCGACACGAAAATCATTGAAACCGACTTCACCGACCACGACCCCGAACTGACCGACCGCCTGGCCAAAGAAATGGGCGATTTAGACATCGGCGTGCTGGTCAACAACGTGGGCGTCTACAACCCGTATCCGGATTATTTTTTGAACTTTGACAAAAATAATCCTCTGTACGATAACATGGTCAAGTGTAACATATCTCCGGTGGTGCACATGTGCCGGGCCGTCATGCCGGGCATGGTAAAACGCAACCGGGGTGTCGTCATTAACATTTCTTCAGCCGCGGCCGTCATACATTGTCCTCTCCTAACCGTTTATGGTGCCACAAAAGTACGGACCGTTGTTGTTGTGTAACAATTAATGTAATTTTGACTTGAACGTGTCTTTTGGCTGGACATCTGTCGAGTAACCAAGTGACGCTCAAAGGGTGGGAATGGGGTAGAATAGTGTAGATGTGATGGTGATAAGCGGGCGGTAATCGATAATTCCTGGATAACTGATAAGAGAATAAATTGATAAGAGATAACTGATAAGAGACTGTGGCGGATGCAGGCAAAAGGTTGCCCGGCCGGTGTCCGAAGACATTGGTCGGTAGTTGTCGTGTGCGTATTTATGTGTGCGCTCTGGGTGACTTTGATCACATGCGAGAAGTTCGCTACGGTTCGTCACAACTACCGAGATCTGGCGATCTGACCATGTGTTGAGGCGGTATCGATGCCGACAGCTAGGTTGCGCTAGCTGTGGCGCCTCGTGGCCATACATCCGCTACAGTGCTGTACGTGGGGCCGCCACAAGACGATTGATAAGAAACAGAAAATCAGTAGACATGTTAACATAAGACATGTTCATGATCCAATGAATTATTGTTTTTTTTTTTTTTAATTTTAATTGTGACGTTTTTATTTTGATTTTAAAGACGTTTGTCGAAAAATTCAGCGTTGAACTGGCCAAAGAGTATGAAAACGATGGGATTCTGGTGCAATGCGTTTTACCGTACTTTGTGGCCACCGAATCAAACAACATTCTCAACCGACCGTCATGGTTGGTGCCAACTGCCAAAACCTATGTCCGTTCTGCCATCAAGACGACCGGCATCCAGAGTATAACCACCGGATATTTCCCCCACACTATAGTGGTATGTTATCCGGTCATTTGCCAAAATAAATCATTTAAACGACCTAAAAGACTAGCAAATTATAATCAATCAAACGAATGATGTTCAATTGAGCACACAAATAATAGCGAAGGGAATAAATAAATAATAATAACAATTTTTATTTTTTTGAACGATGCTCAACTCTGGTTGAAAAATTATAACTTAAAAAGGGTAACGGTGTGGTTTGAATGAACTAATAAACTCTTACAGCAATGTCATCAGACATATGTGTTAATCGTATAAGACAGTATCGTGCATTAACGATTGGACTTTTGGGTTTAAAACGTTGGGAATTGCAAATTTTTTAAGTGATATGTTAATTGATAATGCTAATTGTTTGTTTAAGGTGTACACGGTCAAGTTATTGGATTCAATATGCCATCCACTGGTGTCGGCCATATCGATGAAGTTGTTGTTGAGATGTCGCAATCGGTACATGAGACGCTACAGTGAAATGTCACAAGTTTAGACTGCATATTAGTATTATGATAATAATACAAAAAAATATATACATTTTTTTTTCTACATTAAAAACAATCTGAAAAAATAATAATATTTTGTTAAACGTAGCAATTTAAGGTGTTTTGTAGACAAATCAAATAATCTCTACTTATTACTTATCTCTACAATGTCTACTTATTTAGTTTTAATGACTACCTATTGAAAGCAGTATTGTTTTAATTGGTTTCACATATTATTATTACAACTGCATTAATAAACAATGTAAAACCTGTATCTAAAACTCTCATACAACGTTAATAAAATAATTGTTTTGTTTTGTCTAGACTTACAGTTTAAACAAATACTAAAAAAAAATACAATTCTTCATAAAAAAAAAGAAATAGAAATCAAATTACTTTGTTTTATGTCAATAAAATAATTAAATTAAACGGAAAAAAATAGTAAAAACTAAACGATATTTTGATTTTTCCATAGACTCAACAGAATACTCTTAATTATGATTTTAAAGCCTTAATTACATATCCAAAAATTATAGCTTTAACAATGTTTTACTTGTGAACAATGTTTCAATAAAAAAAACATTTTCAAACCAAGTTATAATTTGGTATATTTTATGATGTTCAAAAAATTGTTTTGTTTTTCAAAGTAAGGCTTCGGTTGTGGATTTTTATGCTAACATTGTCTTATACGTTGATAAAATGCACATGAAATCACGTATAAAAATTAAAAATTCGTCTATAAATGCAACATAATTCTAAATTTGTGATTTACTTTTATCAGAATAAAGAAATGTCTTTTCTTATTTCATCTTTTAAGTTAGGCAATAGAAAAACAATACAACATTTTTGTATTTACAAATATAAGCTATTGTAGTTGTACAGGTAATATACTTAAGGTGAAAATAATTATACATTATTAATGGCTGGTCTTGTTCATTTTTTTAAATACCAGTTGTATTAATTGTTTTAATATTATTTAAAACATTTTAAAACTCCTATATTATTACAATTTATATTAAAATAAAATAATTTGTCTATATTTTATTTAGCAGGGCATATTTTTATGGAACAGTACATGTTAACATATTATTTTTATTAATAATTAATTATTTAGTTGAAAAATCTTTTTTCATTGAACGTGTAATTAAAATATATTTAATAATTACACATTGTAATTTATGAGTATTAATTAAAACAAATTGGCATTTTATTACTTAAAAGTTAAAACCTAGGAAGTCATTTAATTTTCACCAATAGTATTGTGTACTTGATAGTTACAAGTTAAAATCTAGCTATAGTTTCCTATTGTGTTAAAACAATAATTAATGATTGGAAAAATATTAATTTCAACTTTTTACATGTATAACACTTTTGGTGAAAAACTATAAATTAAAATGTAATAATAAATAAAATATTGTAAAAGTAGATGGCAGTTTATCAATTTCAATCTATAAAAATATTACTAAGAAATTATAATCACGTGGTCGAGTATCAATTTATACATTTTTTTTTTGTAGATATTTTGAAATTTATAAACAAGTATAGCAAGTGTAGCACACTTAACTAATCTAAGTTATATTATAATATATTTATTATTATTTTATTTTATTAAAATATTTGGTTAAGTTGATTCTAAACAAACATATTGTGCCTAATTCCGATTCGTTTATTTTGTTTTGAAAATTAAGGCAGAAAAAAAACTATTAATTGGTAAAACAAAAAGATAATTTGTTTCATATTTCAATACAATAACATTTAAATGAAACATAATAGTTTCTTACTGTTAAAAATGTATAAAAATATATTATATAAGACTCTTTTTAACAAACTGACATGAATAACAATAATATTATTGAATACATTTAAATAATTAATAATGCAATAACGAATAATTGTTATACTTGTGTTTAGAAAATTTAATTAAAAAAAAAAAAATAGTAAACATTTACAACTTTACTTATTATAAATTACAATCTCTTATTGTTTAATGTATGTAGAAAAAAAATAATTTTCAGTGAATACTGGAATACATTTTTTCTGTTTTTTATTTGTGTAAACTTAATCCATTTAATAAATGCTACGCTCTGTAAAATAAATTTAGAGTTTATAAATTTGTTTAATGTAAATCTATATGATATTATTAATATTAGTTATGTATTTTCATGTTCAATTTTTAAACAGTAAATCAAATGAAATTTAAATAACAATGGAAATATTCTGCGAATCAGTGAAGCTAAACTTGGTTTTGAAACTTGCTAGTTATTATTAACTCAAAACATTTTGAAAGTAGTTAATAAGCAATGATTTAGGATAATAACTAATGTAGCAGCTGGAGCCTTACCAAAAAGAAATAATAAACCAAACTTCATTTAGTCATGTGGTTTAAGGTTTGGCTGTAACTTTTTGCTGTTAAATATTAGACCAAGTTTTTCCACAGTTCATAAGTTAGCCAATACAATATATAAGCACAAAAAAGAACAACTCACATTTTTTATTGTCTACGACTTCACGAATTAGCTTTTTTAGTCAATGCATTTTCAAGTAATAGTAGTTACAGTAGCATAAAATAATATCATAATATTATGGAACATGTACAGTTAAATCCAAACTAAGGGTACATTTATAACTCAGTTAAACGGTCAAACAATAGAAAAACAAAACAAGGGATTAAAATTATACATACAATACAATGATATTATAACGCAATGTCTAACAAGAGTTTTGACATAAAGTTTGTTTGTTTTCTATGTGTCATTGAGATAGAAATAAATTATAACATTGTTATATTCATCTTAGTTTTAAAAATACACGGACGAACCGCGCTGTACACGAAAACGGCAACCGATTTTATGCGGGATTCCCGCCGCCAACGGGGGTACCCTGCCGTTGTTTACCATCCGCCCGTCCATTGACTATGGCGAGGGTACCCCCGTTGACGGCGGGAATCCCGCATAAAACCGGTCGCCGTTTTTGTGTACAGCACGGTTCGGCCGTGTAAAATCAATGTACATGCACAAAAAAAAAAAAAATAGGTAAGGTGTATTAAATTAAAAAAGTTTTATAAAAAACCTATTTCCAACAACCTCTGATGTCACAAGGATTAGACCTTTTCAACGAAAATGTTTATTCGTCTAAAGGGCATAATAATATTGTACGTCCGGAAGTGACCGGAAGGACTCCCCCCCCCCGTTAAGGACTTCTGGTTTTCACCAGGTTCGTCAGGGTGGCGTATTGCCGGGGTTGCAGGCCGGGTGACTTCTTCAGCGACAGGTAAGACGACGGCGACGACGACGACGGCGACGTTGTCATCATGACGGTGTTGGCACTTCTAGACCTTTTCGACTTGGACAGGTGGAACGGCGAGTTTTCCCTGGACACTAAGTGCTGCTTGGCGTATAGACCAATGCCGATCTCCCTGTGACCGGCTTCCATGGCGATGCTCAGAGCCGTGCTACCGTCCTGAAACAGAACCAGAGTTGAGAGCAGGTTGAAGAGACCCACTGATGAAAAGACGGGGTAAGTATTAAAAACATTTTCACAGCAATTATCAGAGAATAGACCTGATTGGAATCAGATAATAAGCATTAGATGATACGACAGTGGATGCACCGATGAAGGATGATTTATTGAAAAAAGGAATCACATGAAAAGGACGAACAGAGACAAAGGTGTGACGCGTTTATGACTAGTTTGTTTTTTAATCAAGAGTGGAGATCCAAGCACAAAAAACTTGGTTATTTTCTCAGCTCGGTGGTAAAACATTGAGCTATGGATATGCTATCTCTAATCTCTAACTAAAAGTGAAAATGTAAAGCGAAAATGGCGGCAAGACATTTCTTGTATCTAGCCTTACAATACATTCCACGTGGGAATGGTCGCCCAAAAAATTGGGTTTTTATTTAATTTAAACGAAAGAAAAAACATAATAATGTTTTTATTGACAATTTTTTTGAATAAATCACGAATAAAATTATTCAAATAACCTATTATCGTTGTCGTTGAAATAAGCCAGAGCTTGTTGCAAACGTTTTGAAAATCAGAATACGCTTAATAATTAATTTATTCCGTATTCTCGTTCACGGTGACATTAATAAAATAATGCTATTATGTTATACACGGCTTTTGTCTTGGAGTCAAAGATAAAAACCGGCAATTCCCGGTACAACGGCTCTAATGGAAATTTATAGCGACGAAATAAATTATTTTTCGTCCGTCCAAATGCGATTCAGTTTCGAGAACAACGTTTAATTTTTTGTTATGACCTAAATAAATCTATTTATTATACATTTACCGGTTCTTGATACCGTGAACTCATGTAGATTTTATAATACTTAGTATATTGCGAAAAAAATAGTAAATTTATGATGGAAAACGCATTAAACAAACTTAGAACTTGGAGTCCAAAGCATTATAAACTCTGGAACAATCTATGTGTACAAAATCTACAACCGGTTAATATTATGTGCTGTTCTTCAATTTTGTAAAGTCTTCCCATCACCCATCGCATGTAGGAGGTATAGCACGAAAATATGTTATAATGTAATATGTTTTCTATAAAATGCAAACAACGTGCGATCAATCTACTGTGAACACACTTGATGCAATAGACGTTTATATTAAAATATAGGAATGGGAAAACGGCGAAGGTGAGAATACCGATTTTTATTTGATATTGAAATTTCCACGGAAAGACAAAATATTATGTCAATAGCAATAAGAAAAAGTCGGCGGAGATTCTACTCGATTGGCTTTGCGAACCGTAAAACGACTGCATTCCGCGTGCGGTAAAAAGTTTAGGAATATCATATTATATATTTTATTTGGAAAGGCGAAAAAACGACACGTTCGATCCATCGTCTAAAAAGGTTTTTTCTGTGGTCTGAAACAGGTGGAAGAAAATATATAAAAAATTCAGCATATAACCGCTCTTGGGTATAGTAAATAACCAACGCCCAAACCTTGTTCGAAATACGGATTCGCACTAAAAGGAAAGCACTCGAGCGTATCACACATACATCAATGCGATACACGTGGCAATAAAGGAGGCAGAAGCTATTGGATTCGGAGAAAAAGACATTTCGAAAATACCCCAAGTATATAAGTCAGAACTTTGACAAACGTCATGGAAAACCGTAACAGCCCCACACCTACTACCTACATAATGCAAGTGCGGCGGAACCGAAATTTATTTTTTTTGTGGCTTATGCAAAACAACAATGCCAATAAATATGAATACATAGGTTGTATCGCGTGAGACGGTCGTTGACGGTTGTACGGTTTTCATAAAAAAAAGACGAGACACTATATAGATAAATCAATTTCCACAGTCTTCTTCGGCCAACCCACTCGAAACATGATACAATAGCAATGGAAGTGGGGTTTTCTTACGACCAAACACACTTGAATGGTCTCCAGCCAAAAGGAAAAAAATTCCAACCGAACACGTCTTAGGTTTTCCTTTTTCTTGCGGTTTCTCTGTTTTGCATGAGATGGTTCACTTACGTTGTCTGCGATGGAAACGTCGCATTCGGGACAAGCCAAAAGGATGTTGACCACTTCCTGGAGACCGTGCTCGGCGGCGCACATAAGGGCCGTGCTACCGTCTTCGTCTTGGACGTTGATGTCGGCGCCGCATTCCAACAGCAACTTGACCACTTCGGTTTTGCCGTGAGACACGGCCAACATCAGCGTGGTCTGTCCGTGCTGCGAACAAATTTTCATAATATGTTATCGAATAATTTACATTTTCACAATGGCGAGGAGCACGAGTTAACGACTGATCGTTTGCGATGGATCGAATTGAAATTACAATGAATTCCTGTCACGTGAATTCTGAATCCTGACAGGGCAAAGTATCGGAAAATGGAAAGTAAAAAAAAATTCAATAAAACAAGCAGTTGCAATTCAGATTTGTTTAGTACTATTAAATCTTTAATTTTAAATTTATAAAATTCCATCAGAAATCCATATTGTTGTTGGATAGGCAATTTAAAGTACAATTACCATGTAATTATAACATTATGAGTTACCTGTTCATTTTTTTTAAAAAAATTAAACATTTTTTGTTTAGTTTATTTTAAATTGTAGTTCATCAGTAGTATACAGGCAAAAACATTTCATCTCAAGATTTTAATAAAAATGACCCACTGAATCTTTACAACGTCCTTATTGATTTATCCCGTTTCGGGAAACGTCAACCATTTCAATTTTAGGCCATCCAATTTCTATCAGTTAACATTTCATGTATAGCTCGGAAATTTTGCCGAACCTATCCATAATTGTTTTTGTTAAACAAATCAAAATATGTATTATTGAATTAAATTTAATGATAATATCAAATAAATGTAACATTAGGGTGGTTTCTTGAATGAATTCGAAATAAAAAAAGCCCAGTTCTTAATCCGAGGTTAGGTTACACTTAACTGTATAATATTATACAATATCGTTTTGAATAAAATCTTAGTGTTTTTAACTCTTAAGCTGAAACAACAATAATTCAACGAAAATATTTGTTATCGAACTATAGACATCTGTCTGGAATTCGATTCGGCGTTTTGTGTTAAACATTTATGCCGGGTTGCATAAAGAGTTAATCAATTGAATGGTTCGTTAAAATTTAACGGACCAATCACGAGCCAGTAAATTATGTTTCGGGAACTTCTAGACCTCTGTTGGTTCATTAAACGTTTGATAGAACGTTTATGCAACCCGGTATTAGTCTTTTCGACTTAACCGATGTTAGATTCGGTCGGGTAATACCACGGTCAAGTATTTCGAACGGTTTACGGGATTCACTGGATCCCCATGCCATGAATAACCTTTTTCGCATAATTAACCTCGCGTGGAATTTTTCATTTAATTAAAAGCAACTATTCGGACGGGACTTACAACGCGTATCGGCCGCATTGCAAAGGGCGAACGGTATTTGGGATGGAATTTACACGCGGATATTCATTAGCTGTCTTAAGCACGTTTAAATTTACCGCCACCGTTTATTAGTTAACGACAAAGCGTTTGAAACGTTCTGCAGCAGCTTATAGACGAGTGATTTCGTTTTGGGGTCAACATATTTTAGTGCTTTAGGGTTCTCTAAATTCGTTAGCACGCCATTGCCTTTGTCCGTTTGGTATGTGAAATACTAGTCGACAGATTTTAATTGACAGCCTCGAGAGACACTGTTAATAAAATTCCCGAATAACAAATTCCGTGTAGCGAATTCTCCACATTATAATGTGGAATAATTCTCCACAAACCGATTAACTACATAAAATGAAATTTTTTTAGGACAGGCAGTTAAAGTTATTTGATATAATGTATGTAAGTACAATTGCCAGTTTTTTTAGTGCACTCTAGTGGTAAAAACTACAGAGTTATTTATCTTGGCCACTGAAAAGTTGGTTAAAGTTATACCGAAAACTAAAAACCCGGTTCTTCAAATATAAACTACTACCTAACCAAAGTATATTAATATTGTTGTCACATGTAAATTATAGTAATAATTGTATTATTATTATTATTATTTACTTTCTTCGCTTGTAAATTGACGTCGCCGCTCTTGAATAGTTTTCTGATAATTTTCATCTCGTCGCTGTTCTTGACTTCTGCCAACGAGACGAGCATGATGCTAGAGTATCCTGCATCGTTAGTCAGGTTAACGTTGCACATGCCTGTGTCCAAAACGGCAGAGACCACTTCAAAATTCCCATGGGAAATAGCGTAATGCAACACTGTATTGCCCTGTTTGGAAAAAAAAAACGGTTTCTGTGTATTTACTATTCAAATCGGTCGAGAAGGTTGTTGGATAGATGATTTGGAAAACACTTACTAATTAAAAATTGGCTTTAAAAATATAAACAAATATCTTGGGAAACATAAAACAAACCTCAGAGAAAAAATTATCATAATATTATAACTTTTAAATAATTAACATATATTTGTTGAAAAGTAATGTAGAGACTATTTTTAAGCAAATGTTATTTTATTAAGATTATTTTGTTTAAAGTAGATTAATACACATTTTTTAGTTGTGAGTATTGTTTAATAAAATTGATATAAAAGAGTAGATTTTTTTCTCAAAACATTTTTATTTTGTGGCATTCAAATCAAAAAATTCTCCTGGCAAAATTATTTGATTACAGCGTTTAAAGATTTTTAATTAAAAAATAATCCAAATATCGAACAAAGTTAAATACTAATATAGAATAGCATAAGACAATGATAATGGTAAAGGAAAAAAAATATTTAATTTCTTCAATTCCATTAATTTAATTATTAATGTGTTTATTATATTGATATAATTTATATATAATCATTAAATTGTTTTAATAAATTAAGTTATAATTTTTGGGGAATTTTCCTCGATAAAAATAACTGAAGATGATTTAATTTATTATATTTTTTAATTACCTACTAGTCCTAGATTCTTAGTCGAAAAACTACTTCTAAAAAACGTTTAGACAAACTGAAATATAAGTATGACATTTTTTAAGGGAATGTTTTAAAAGGGGTAGATGTGGGAACTTACAACTTTTGGTCTTATAAATAAGTATTTACGATTTGCAATTAAATGGGTTTATTGAGAAAGGGTATATCATTTTTTGAATACTTTCACCTATTTACATTTTTTTATTCATTATTTTAATTGTGTAAATGAAAAAGTCTAAATATAAATTATAAAAATAGTTTTTTTGGTAAAATTTTTACTTTTTAGCATAAATTATTAAGTTTTTTTTGTATCCTGAAAAAAATTTTATATTTTGACTTATACTCTTCCTTGCCAAAACCGTCCAATTTATTGACTGGATACACGATAGAAGCGACCAATAACTTAACAAATTACCGTGGGCCTGGCAGAAATATAATATTACTATTATTAATTGAAAACGTAACGCACTACTATTTGTCTATAGCAGGTAGATAAAATATTTGGTCTGATCTACATCAATTTGTGTGTATTCTCTCAAAACAATAATATTGTCGGCTATCCGGTTACTAGGAAATTCGAATAATATTCCAACTGAATAATTCCTACACCGTTGTTGTATTTACACACAACGGTTGTTGCTTCCCAGAATACACGTTCTTAAGGGAAATAGCAAAATCGCGTTTTTGAGTTTAATTAAACGCATCGAATAACACACAAACGAAATCTCCACGGTAAACGTTTAACGGTAAAATCCACCTTCAACCCTAATACCGAGAAACGTGATTTGTATAGAGAAAATACCAAATTTCGAAATTCCCCAAAAATGTGGAAGTTTTCTCTATTTAAAACGTTAGATCAGCAGGCTTTTAGAGATTTCAAAAAAATCACCTGTTTGTTTTAAGAGACTTTCCAGGGAAGCACATAATTACATTGTATGTCTATATGTGTATAATATGATACTATTTGGCATTGTTCGAGTAAGTTATTTCAACGGAAAAAAATGAAGACAAATGATGTTTTTTCGGGAGATATCGAATAAAATATCATCAAACTTTTTACTTTAGTTAATACGGTATTTTGTCTGTTATTTAATCAAGTTTTTCCCAACTCTGTGGGCAGGCACATCGAGAAGTTTTCAAAAGTAAACCGATTTGTCAGAGTCGTATCATAGGGAACGGATATGCTCTTGTTTTTGTTCTCCTCGTAGAAATTACTAATTTTGGAGGTTTGTTATTAGGTAAATAAATTACAGTCATTTGCATGTTGATATTACAAAGCGCCTAAGGACAGTTGAACAAATCCCACCTGGGGCCACACCGCCACCAGTCGTACATAATGATTAGGGTATAGTATAATTATTGTACCTTGTAACAAAAAAAAAAAAACCATCTGGTTGATTTTCCACCGACTGATGTTTATTTACCATTACATACTATAGATGTTGTTCTTGTTTGATGAACGAAATCAAATTATTATTATTATTATTATTATTACTATGGTGAGCACTTACCGCGGCGTCTGTCATGTTTATGATGAACTCCAACAGTACAGGCGAATACGATTTGAAAGAATCAACATAATTCTTGACCACTTGACCGCCGCAGATGTTCATACTCGAAGCCTGTGAACACGGGACGTTTTTATTTTAATAATTATAATATATTTTAATTATTAGTTTCACCTTGAACCATTCTTCCCGTACGATGTCAATGGCGTGCTTAAGCTGGGCCCTAGGCAAAAGAGTGGCCGAAGTCTTTTTCAACGAATCGTTCAGCACTTTCAACGCGGCTCTCATCTCTTTGCTCGGACCGTCCCTGCAAAATCAAATTTTTAAGGTGCAATAAAAAAAAAATCCATTTAAATGTAGTCGATTATTTTCAAGTTTCGTAGTTGATTATTGTTAAATGATAACAGCCGATATCGTTAACCGGATAATTTTGTGTAAGTATTACACGATAAATCCTTGCACGGCAGCGCAAAGGCTGAACTACAATGAACAAAGTTCGCAAAGCATTGTTTTAACACAGCATTGCTGGTGTTTCCGACGAATCTCTTGGTTAATTGGGTAAACGAGAAATATATGTATTAGGTACTTTGTGCGCCATAGGAATTGTGTAATTAAATTCAGCCGTCGGATCCACATTGAGAATGTAATTAATTGACTAATAAAAGGAGAACACATTAACACGGCGACCGTGCCGGTTTCGCTGGTTAATTATCGTCTCCTTTTAATTACAACAAAGACATTTCGAACCTAAAAAGTTTTCATAATAAACGCTATTTAGATATGTTCTAACCGCGATTAACGCATCTGTTGCCAAAACGGTATTTTCCACGTAAATAGGAACTAAAAATTAAAAAACCAACAGTGTCGTTTCCTTCGAGAGCTCAATTATATTTTGCACTAGAATTGCTTTTAAAACACATATTTGCCTTGAGCAATTGTAGAGTAGGAATTCATATTTTTCTTCAAGGCATTCAAAGTAATTGTTGTTAAATGTAATTTTTCGGATTCATTCAAATCGACCGAACGGTAATAGCTACTTTTAATTGGCACTTTTTTAGCTGTCGCATAATAATTAAAGTAATAATAAAAATGTAAGCGCCACTTCATAACAAAGCATTTATTCGGCCTTAATGAAGTGTATTTTTTTCCGAGTAAATAAATCATTTTATTGCGTTGTATTATATTTTATGTTTAAAATTATACGATTGAATTAAAAAATTAAGTGTGTAGCATTACTTGCACAAGTCGTCCCGTATGGGTTTGAAGGCCATGTCCGATTCTGGGCTACTTTCGTTTTGAACATCAGGCGGCGACGATGGTATAGGTTCCATGATAGGCCTGTAACAAAACAAAAATTATTCATAACGGTGTTTGTAATATTACAAATAAAACAATAAATTCAACTAAAAATCTTTCGGTTCGATAACGTTTTAATTCCGTTAGGCAAATTGGATTTGTAGATAATATTATTAACGCATAATTTTTTTTTTCCTTTATTCAAATCAGTCTTGTAAAGTTTTTTAGTTTTCTCACGAGTGTTAAAACGGTATACCAAAAACCGGTATAAACTTATTTTTTACAGTTTAAACACTGTAAATTTTAAGCAAGTGTGTTGACTATGATTTTTCTCGGCTGTGTGTGAGAAAAAATACTATGTAGTAGATTAGTAACGTTTGGTTGGGTACAGAGTCGACTGGGCAAAACCATATGGAGACGCAGGTATGTCTGTTGTTATGCCATATATGAAACGATCGGACTAACGAAGTGGTTACTAAAATCCAAAGAACACCGAGATGCGTCTCTTGATTGTATTGTATTGCATGCAGCATTGTACATACTTTTCAATTTATCACCGATTATTATTAGTTGGATTTCTATGAATTTTTAAGTAGGAAATTTTATAATAACGCAATCAAAAACTTGTGAAAATATTAGTATAAAAGATAATTGCAAAACATTTTAAACTGTTATTGTAAAAAATGCAAAAAAAAACATACATTATTGATTATTATTATTTAGCTTCAATGTGGAGTTAAGAAGGTATTGTTTTTACAATGATGTACTGGCCCGAAAATTTAAGAAGTTCACCTCTTACCTTTCAATAAAAAACCCAAAAAATATACATAATTTTTTAAAAACAGTCGAATTATCTCTAAATTTGTTTGGAATATTCTTTAGAAATGTAGTACTATCGTTAAACGTTGCCAAACCAAACAACTGTCATGAACCCTTTTCCTGGAAGGGATGGAAACTTTTTCTTTGTTTCGCTTTTCCCTGTAAACTTTAAGTACTTAGGATCTGAAAATTACACCGAGGGTACATCATTTAATTTCTGTGCACGAAACGGTCATGGTATTTCATCAGATTATAAGATAATGCGATAATGCTTTTAGCCAGATAACCGTATTAGTGATTTGTTAAAAAAAAAAAAACACTTAACAATCGTATGTGCTGGTAATGATAGAGTGTACACCATGTGTGAAACTGATTGTCGTCGTCTCTTTGACAAGTCCGTCTGTTGTGTGATTACATCATAATAACGTTTTGCTACAGCGATTGCGACCCAAACTTATTCGATGCTATATTTTAACAAGGAGGTTTCTATCCGAATGTATTACCTAACAATAATAATAATTATGTGGATTCGTTAGGTGCATTGTTAGTGTTTTGAATGACTGTAGATCAAACGTGAACTGCCACACTTGTGGACGGTCTGCCAGGCACTTTGTTGTTTGTTTGCATTGGGTCAGGTCTAAAGGCTACACAAAGGCTATATCATGTTGGCGATTTCGATGAAAAGTTTCCATTGGAGTTCGATCAAGCGGCACGTCAAACGAGGGCAAATGGCTAATCTGGCTAAAGGTCAAAGGAATGTTTCAGCGTAAGTCATAAGCCGTTGTCCTCGAGTCATTGCTTTTGGAGTTGGAACACATTGTTGAACTTTTTAACTGAGTAACCGAGAAGCTTTACCTAGAACACAATGCGCGCCCCCGCCGGTTTGTTGTTTGTTCGACCCGAAATTAAGTCAAACAAAACCCATGTTGGACTCTGGTCAAACAAAATGCAATATTCTCTGAAATTCCCTTTACGGCTTTGGACGTCACTCATTGGAAATTTGTGCTGAAATCGTTTGGTATGCTAACGAAAGACCCTGCGACCGTATCGATAGCACATTAGATTCAAAGGTTTACCCGTTATAAAGCAAGTATTATGACGGTTTATTAGGTTTACCCAATAACTTTCCCAGTCAAGTCATACTTGGCAACGGTTTTGATGAAAATCCACGAAAACCGATACAGGCATACACAATAAAAAAAAGGGTTAGGTTCAAATGTGGATAATATTGCGTCGACATAATATTATAATTTCAGTCGTGACAACACCTACATTACATACATACCGTGACACGTTTCTGTTTGAACATTTTTGTTTCAGGTATTCTTAAACCGATCACACGACTCCATCCGGTCGGACCATTCAAATCCAATATGCAAATATCACAATGCTCGCACATAACGTTCCTAATTACAACTGTTTGTAATGTATTTTTAATTTACAAGCCATTTTTGTAGCTTAATATCGGTTTGTTTGTTTGCCTGCGAGAGACACGAGCAGAGTGTACAGCTAAATTTTAAATTACTTTCCAACTTAGCAGTATGCCACTGCAAAAATAATACAAATGCCATGTATCATTTTTTCTTGGGGTGTGGACCCTTAAGCCGCTTTGTCTTGCCCTTAGATAAAATTCGAAGTGTCGTTTTGGGTCACTCGTAAATGCGGAGATATTTTTCAAATTTTATCATCGATCTCATCCCTTTCGGCGGCCAAATGCCAATCCACTACTACCACTATCAATATTGCCTCTTATTGCTAAGGGGGTTTTAACGTCCCTCGCTGTCATAAAAAATATTTTGGATTACTTTTGCACGTCACCAATTACACTAATGAAAACAACCCGGGTCGGGTAGTTTATGTTTTTTTTATTTCATTTTACACACCATCAACGTTTCTTAGCTATTTTTCCTGATCAAGCAGCAAAGAATGCCTTAAAAGCATAACCCAATTACATTGCTTTTTCGGTTTCAGGACAAATACAATACTATTTAACATATTATTTTATAATACCTACAAACGCCTTTTTTCATAGTAATAAAACGCAATTCAAAAATACAATTTTATTACCGACACGTGCGTTTGTGCTAAACTTGTTATTCGCGCCAGATTATTCGGATAAAAGCGAAAATAATATTTAAAAAAAAACCAGCCATAACTACATTAGGTCGAACTTTTACAGTAAATGAAAAATAAATGGAACTCGCCGTACGGTTAATGTAGCTGGGAATAAAAAATTGAAAATGATAAAGACCCAAGCTACATAATATAATATCAATTTTTTATGCCGAAGCGTTTCTTAAATGTATTACTAACAATAATATACCTCCGAGCTGCTGACCTCGTTGGAACCATTAACTTCAAGAACTCATCATACCGAGCGTTCCTTATTTAATGTTTTTTACTGCGTCTTATTTTTCACTCAAGTCGGTAATGAAAAAGTTTATGTCGGAACTTTTATTATGTTCTTATTAAATTAGCCTTTACTCGGAATTTCCATCCCATAATAACTCCGGAATAGCTAAAAATGCTTTTAGTGACGTTTACTGCGAATTTCTAAAATAATAATTGCCAGGCGTTCCAGTTTATAGCAAACTTCAACGACAATAATCACTTTTCAGCGGGGAAATAAATTTCGGTATAAATATTGCATTTTTTTATATTATTATTAGCCTCGAAACTAGGACAGCAGAACAAAACACTAAAAAAAAAGGTATCAATATAAAAAAAGGCCCAAATCTAATGCAAAAAACCAATCTAAAATGGCGAAATAGTAAAAGGTATTGTCTACTGACAAGACTGTGAAATTGACAGTAAGGAGTAGGCAAATGTTTAAGGTGGAAAATAAAGACAATACAGTAAAAATCAGTATGATCTTAATGTATTTCCTCACTGGCTTAAACTAATACTAACTTACTATCATTAAACTTAAACTACTACTAGTTAAAAACTACTATATTAAACTAAAATAATACCCCTAACCGGTAAGTCATTAAGCCTGGGGTTGTTTGAGTTCATTCTCGTGCCAGACAATGAGCACACATTTTCGCCGTCGCCGTTAAACAAATATAAAAGAATACATAATGTGAAAAAGCAGCAAGCGCCATTGTTGCCAACTTACCGTGAACTAATGTGCTAATAAAAAATGTATATTATAATCCACAAACAATTAAAAAAAACCAAACAACAACAAAGCGGATCGCAGCCTTGAACGGTCGCTCGTCCGCAATTAAAACAACGACTACCCTCGCGGGTATTATTTTCGTTTTACCATCCATAACTTAAACAAATATAATATTATAATTACTTCTGAGGCCTAAGGACAACAAGCTGATCTAACCGACTACAGGCTTAACACAATAATATATTATACAGCAATGCAGCGCTACACACAGCAAAGGTAGGTATGAGCATATTATACCTAAACTATACTTTAGTATGTTCACAAATAAACAGAACCGACTCAAAATAAGTTTATGTTCACAAAAGTTAAAAAAATTATTTGCTGAATAAAAAAAAAAGGAACCAATAACCAGAACTTTTTTTTTTTTAGATTTCCTCGAGTAGGGGCAGTTTTATTTGTACTTAGTACAATATTTTTCTCTCTGGAAAGTTCTGAAAAATGTATATAAAATACATTTGTTTGTGTAAAACCAGATCAAAATTCAAATATAATTTGCACCTGGTAACCTTTGTAAGCGAATTTTCATCGTAGGCCTATTTTAGCCAGTGCTATGCTGAGAGGTCCTTAAAAAGAACACTGGATTTGGTTTAGTTCAATTATAACAGCTTTGTTGTACATTTAAATAGTTTGCACGATGAACTTTTCTATACACAACACAAACTTCGGGTATAAGGTTAAATCCCTTCTTAAAAATTGTGTTTCGCATATTCTGGGGTAATTTTCTCATGTTAATTAATATTTGTATAGTAGGTATTATATTATGTTACAATTTTGAATAGAATTTGTTTGTGTTATTTAGATTTTGTGATTATAATATTAGTGTTATATTTAAAAAAAAAAGCCATTATAAAAGCATAAGCTCACCTGAACTGTCCCTATGGTAGTAAAATAGTAAAAAATATATAATAATATTTTCGTTTTTATGTTTTTTGGCAAAACAAAACTTAGTATACGATTTAATCCTTTACCGAAAAATTGTGCATATTTTGCACACGTGTATGACTCTGGACGACACGAATATAAACATTTCCTACTCACATTA